ACACTGGTCCATGATAATGATCACAGCAGACTCTGAGTAGCTGCGACAAGCTGTTTCCAAGAATACAGCTCTGTGGTTTCCTCTGGAGACTCTCTGTGGCTTTACACTTAGTTATTTGCTTTTAAGGTGCTATCAGCTGAGGTCTCAGGGCTTGCTTTGGGGTTGGAGGCGGGCGGGAAATAACCCATAACTGTGCAGTCCTTTTTTCCCAGAAACGTCCCTAAGCTTCTTTCCATACATGAATGGTTTTGACCTCACAGGCCATCTTGAATGTAATTCCCTTACATTTCAACCTCTGGATTCATGCTATGTTCTCCTCCCTTTCCCTTTCCCTCGCTGCTTAATTCTTTAACAGGTTCAGAGGGAGGTGGAGCAGAGCAGAGCAGACCCCAGTGGCCACGGAGAAAGTCACTGGTGGAGTGTGAAAGGCGACAAAAAGCAAACTTTAAGAGTTTTTGGTCCATGGTCTCTCCTGGCTTCAGAGGCGCCCATACAGCTCCTTGCCAAGGGTGCAAGGGAGCCTAGGTGTACCTCTGAACAGGTTCGTGGGAAGTGCAGATAAAGAAATACTTTGCATTCCCTTAAAGGACCAGTGATTTAATTCATTGCAGGCGTATTCTGCAATTCTAGTGTGGGGGACATACTAAATGGGCTTTTGGGGTCCCCTTCTGTGCTTCTATTAGCTGTAAGATGTGATACAGCAGAAAAAGAGACTGCTAACACTATCAAAATACAGTAAATTAACTGTTTGGTTTCATTATGTAAGCTGAAGATATTTCTAGAAGATGAGCTGAAGTGGGCAAGTCCCCTTGCTGGAGAGGGAGAGAGAGAGAGAGAGAGAGAGAGAGAGAGAGAGAGTGTGAAACAGATCAAAAAGACAAAGAGCTGCCAGTCCTGGAGCTGGAAAGACATAGAGGCCTGATTTGCTTTCTTTGAGATTGCAAAGCTGTGGCTTTGGTGCCACCTCCTAGAAAACTAATGGTGAAGCAGGTTCAGTTAAAGCACTGGTGCTGTGAATCTTCCATATGTGTAAATAAACCTCATATCACAGAAAATGCTATCCACCTCCAGTGACACTAATTTCAAGAAATCACATCCAAGGTTTTCTGTTGGGATGCTCGGAATCTCTTACCGCTCAGAGATTCGGATGCACATAACATACCTGCAAGTCAGGTTGATTCTGAAAAGATTTAAGTGATTGATTCACCCCAGAGAAATAACTCTGTGTAGGAAATCTGTACAACTGGATGACTTTTATTGATGAACATAAATCCTTCTTAACTGAAACTAATGCTAACACAAATGTCTTCAGGTTCAGGAGCATAAATGGTACCTGGGCCTTCATGAGACCAAATGCAAAGGCTTCTCGTTGGTTAATAAATCAAAACCTGGAAAGGGTGCCATCCTATCCACTTTTACTGGGAGAAAATTTGAAAAGTCATAAAGCAGTGAGTGAAGGCACTGAAGAGTAGAACCATGCTCAAGGAAGCTCATGTGTCCATTTCATTTTCAAGACCTGGAATCTAGATGTCTTATTAGGGACCAAGAGGCCTCTGGGAGCATCCGTGGCTTCTAAAGGACCAACACTTGACAGAAACTGTATAGAGAAGTGCAACATTGCCATCTTAAGGTCAGCAATGTAATGTCCAAGGAGATGTTTATTTCAGTATATTGTGATCTGTTTGCTCTTGACTACATCTTCTCTTTCTTCTCAAGACCAGATGCTTCTGCCCTCAGGGCTGACCCAAAATATTATGGTACCTCAGGTTGCAACCCTTATAAGGGAGAAAGCCTCAGTGTAAATTGCTTCTGAATAAACATGCATAGGATCGTGGCTGATGACACACAGTGGATGTGCTGGACCAATGTTTTGCCTCAGTAATGGACTGGATGAGAGCCAATAAATTGAAGCTCAATCCAGATAAGACTGAGGTACTGTTAGTGGACAGTTCCCTAGACTTGATGGGAGGTTGCTGCTCTTGATAGGGTTACACTGCCATACCCTCCAACATTTCTCCAATGAAAATAGGGACGTCCCGTTCCATAATGATACTTTTACTATTTATACCCCACACATCTTATTGGGTTGCCCCATCCACCCTGGGCAGCTTCCAACATTTATAAAAACATAATAAAATATTAAACATTAAAAAAACCCTTCTTTATACATAATTGCCTTCAGGCAGCTTGGGAGTCGAATAACTCCATACCCTCCAACATTTCTCCAATGCAAATAGGGACATCCAACTATACCCCCAACATTTCTCCAACGAAAATAATAATAATAATAATAATAATAATAATAAATTTTTATTTATACCCCACCCTTCCAAGTTCAGAAAATCGGGCTCAGGGCAGCTAACAACAAATTTAAAACACTTAATTGATGTTACCAAAAAATAGCATAAAATACGGTATAAAATGTGAATAACAATAAAATCAAAAATCAAAAATCAATTTAGGGGGAAAATCCATCCAATAAACATTAGATGATCACCAGGGCTAGCTGCCTACATTAGTCCTATTTGGGCCAGCAAGGAGACCAGGGGAGAATTAGCTGTGGAATCCCAGAGCGGGTAATCTTCATAAAAAGGGGAGGGGGAAGGAAGAAAGGGGAATAAAAGATCAGGCTAAGTTCAAATTGAAAGCCAGGTGGAATAGTTCTGTCTTACAGGCCCTGCGGAAGGAAGTTAAATCCTGCATGGCCCTGGTCTCATGGGACAGAGCATTCCACCAGGTCGGAGCCATCACTGAGAAGGCCCTGGCCCTGGTGAAGGATAATCTAACTTCCTTAGGGCCCGGGACCTCTAAACTATGATTATTCAAGGACCTTAAGGTCCTCTGGAGAGGCGGTCCCATAAATACGAGGGCCCTAAGCCACAAAATAGGGACACCTTAAGGAAAAGCGGGACATTCTGGGATCAAATCAGAAACCAGGATGATTTATCTAAATCAGGGACATCCCTGGAAAACAGGGACCCTTGGAGGGTCTGCACTCCCTGTGAATGAGTGGGTATGTAGCTTGGGGGTTACTTCTAGGTCCTTTGCTGTCGCTTGAGGCTCAGGTGGCCTCGGTGGCATCAGCTTTGGCTGGTGGCCCTGTTGCTACCTGGACAGGGATAGTCTAACTTCTGTTGCCTATGCTCTGGTAACCTCTAAGTTAGATTACTGCAACCCGTTATACATGAGGCTGCCTCCAAAGATGATTGGGAAACTTCAGCTGTTGTAGAATTCAGCAGGCAGCTTGAACACCCTGTATAATGTGATTCATGGCCCGACAGCTCAGGACCACAATACCTCAAGGACCACCTCTCCCCATATGAACCAGCCTGGACCCTACATTCATCATCCAAGGCCCTTCTTTGTGTGACTCCTCCATGAGAGGTCCAGAGGGTGGCAACACAAGAATGGGCCTTTTCTGCAGTGGCTCCCCGTCGGTAGAATGTTCTCCCCAGGGAGGTTCGCCTGCCAGCATCATTATATATCTTTAGGGGCCAAGCAAAAACTCTATAAACAGGTCTTTGGCCTTTGACTGTCTGTCGCCTTTTAGAAGTGAGTGGGATGTTTTTAATGGGTTTCTCTTCCCTCTTGGTTGTAATGTATCCATGTGGAGTTTATGTGGGGTCTGTTTGGTTGATTGTAAGTTACTTTGGGTTGCCCTGGGCAAGAGAAAGCAACTGACAAATTTAATAAACTATGAATAAATTAATATGTTTAAATAGTGTATGATCACTTTTTGTATGATCCTCATTATTTATTTTATAGCCTTTAAACCATGAACAAGCATGGGGAAATCAAAGAGAAATGATTAAACTGGAAGAGTCTAAAACATTACATCTGGTCTCATATATGTGTAAGGTGTTGGTGCTGGCGGGAGAGGGAACAGCACCCAAAATCCTGGGAAGGTGAGAGCAGAGTTCTCCTTCGTGAGTCCTTCCAAACAGATCCCTAATGCCCCAGAGCACAGATGCCTTTGACAGATGAGTTCATAAAAAGTGTGGCAACACCTGCACTTTGGAGCTTCCTGCCCAATGAGATCAAGTTGCCGCCTTCATGGTACTCTTTACGTTGCCTGCTAAAAACAGTTATGTTTAGAGAAGCCTATGCAGATGCTTAGAAAGTTGAGGTAATTCTAATCTGTATTTTAACTTTTGTATGTTTTAAAGTATGGTTGTGAATTTCCCCTGATTTTATTGTTTGATCTTTTTTGTAAACTGCTTTGAACTTTGTTACAATCAAATGGTGTATACATTTAATGAAATAAATACAAATCGTAAATAAAAGTGATAAAATAGAACTGTGTCCTTTCAAAGGCATTGGGGTTGGGCTTGACCAGGAATCAGACTGATGATATGCCTCCGAAAGTGCAAAATTCCCAATGTGACTGTACCAGCTTGAGGGAAAAAATCTGACAGCTCTTCCAGCCACTTGAAACAGTCATCCAACAGCCACCAGGAGCAGCGCTATTTAATATTTTAAACGCTATTACATTTTAAGTGTTAGTTAATATTTACATTTTTGTAAGCTGCTTTGAGATTGCTTTTCTTGCTCCATATAACAACAAATAAATTAATAATACATTACAGTATTAGCAGGGCCAGCCCACCCATAAAACCACTTGAGGCAATTGCCTTAAGCGGCAGGATCCATGAGGCAACAGATCCTTATGTTGATGTTACTTCCCCCCTTGTTCCTAATGTAGATCTCCCCTCACCCCTTTTTGCTGCGGTGGCGAGGGGAATGCCATTTTGGGTCCAAGATGCCTTGGGCCGGCCCTGCTCTTAGGGAGGCACAATGCGCAAGGACTGGCTGCAATCACCGAAGCTCAGGCTACGACCATTTCGCGGCGCCTTCCGCCAGGTGGCGCTGCAGCTCCCGCAAGCGAGACTCCTCCGCCAGATCCTTGCGCGAAGGCGTCGCGTGCCCGACCGGTGCGTGTGCGAGCGGCTCGTGGGCGACTCCGAGCGTGCGTGGTGACGTGTTGGGCCCCTTGGCCCCGCCCCTTGCTGAAGCGCGGCGGCCGCAGTCTTGGCGGTTGCAGAGGGAGGTCGCGGCGGAGCCGGTGAGAAGCAGCAGCTGCCTTCGGCCTCGGCTTCCGCGCTCGCCCTCACGATGTCTTCTGTGCCGGACGCCGCCGCCGGCGACGAGCTGAAGCAGACGAAGGAGATGGAGGACGCCGAGAAGTACTCCTTCATGTCCACGCTCACCAAGGCGCCCAAGAAGGTGCGGGCCGGTGGCCGGAGGAGCGGGGAGCTCGGGGGGCGCTCGCGGGGCGGGGCGGCAGCGACGGGGCTCGGCGCCTCAGGTCCTCGGGCGGGAGAGGGGCCGGGGCTTGAGCCCCCCACCCCTGAAAGTCACGCCCTCTGAGTGGGGAAAAGCCTTTCCTTCCCCTTGACCCCTGACGCGCTTGCAGATTCAGCGGGCGCTCTGCACATGCCCAGGGGAACTCTTTTCTGCGTCGGCGTTTCTCGTGTCCCGGCGCTGAGACCTGACCCTGGAAACTGGTTCCGGGGCTTAAGGCATGTAGACGTGACCCCCTCCGGCAGGGAGCGGGGACTGGGGAAGAGGAGGAAATAGGGGGGAAACTCCAGGAGGAGGAGATGTGGAGGAGTCTGGAGCTGTGGTTCAGCTGGTTCAGCTGTGGCAGCTCTGGGCAGCTGTAAGAACTGGGAAGGAAGGTCCTTTAGGACACGGATCCTCAGCTTGGCAGGCCTGGGCGGTGTTCGTGCGAACACTTTTCTTTGCAGCTGAAAGGCTGGACCGTCTGCCTCGAAGGTCTCTCTATCCCCATGTCTGCCAGTGGAAAGCATTTCCGTCTAGCAGTGGCAGAGGAGATGGGACTCTGGTTTCCTCCATCCACCTGGCTAGCTAGGAACAGTGTGGAGCCCAGCATGCATATGTGATATCTGACTGCTGTCTGTCAAGACTGCCCCTGGGAACGAGGTGCTATGGATGCTGTGCAAGCTAAAAGCGGCTTGTAGCTTTTTCCATATCATTATGTCTCTCTCTCTCTTTCACAAGTCCTCATTATATTCTTCCAGTATATTATCGGTCCTAGCATAGCAGTACAGGCTTAATCCAGGCAGTCTTGTGGGAGCTTCCACAAGAGTTATTGCTTGACTTGTGCAAATGTACCTTCAGATAGAGGCATGGTGTCTTGTGCTACCAGGAATATGCTCTCAACTTTTTGTTCGTCATTGAGAATGTCAATCCAGAGATCAGAAAACGCCTTCGTGCTATTCCTAAGTGCTGTTTAGTGGGAAGGGCTATTTTTGCTTTGTATTCCTACCTGGTTTAGGATTTTCAAAAACCATAACCCTGCAGCCTCAGTGATTGTAACTGTTAGTAATCATTGCTGTTAGTGGAGCTGTAACTGTGAACTCTTCAGTTATGCATGGGCAGATATAGCCAGAATTCTCGGCTTAGATTTCCTGTGGGAAGTCCTTCTGGGCTGAACATTGCATTCTCCCTAGCTTTGTGTTGCATGGCTCTGAACTTAAACCTGAATGGAGTATGGCGCAAAAGCTTTTCTTGGGAGAATGGGCATTTTCCTTTTGATGGCTGAACTGAAGCAGAATTAAACTTGTGAAGAAAGTTTATTTCCTTAAACTCACATTTGAAACCTTTTGTGAAACCTTTTGTGCAGCCCAACCTTTCAATGACTAGCAGAAACATTTTGGTGCTAGCTGGAAGATCAAACTTCATGCTTAGCAGGTGCCCAAGGACAACGCCTATAACATTCCAGTTTGCTCCACCTGAATATAATGCAAAACCATTAGTTCCACCTTAGAAAGTGAAATTTGAGAAACTTGAGATGTTATTCCTTTTGGCTTTGGCAAATTCTAAGTTACAAAATAATCACAAGTGTGTTAATAAAAATATACATACATACTTATTTTGCTGTGCCCATGAACTCCAGCAGGAAGCATTCCTGTCCTCCAAAATCAACTGTCAGAAAAGGGATATGGTCACCTATTCCAGACACACATCATCTCTGATAATGTTTCTGTAATTTGTGTGGAGTTGGTGGTTGGGGTACCTATCAGGACTGTTTCTGTGACCTTGTACTTTTGATGATCCAGACATGGATGGAGAACTGCATATATTAGGTTGGCAGAGGGAGGATGACCTCAGGTGGCAGATGCTGGGGGGATGGTGTCAGCAGCCCTCCAGTTGTACCCTTTTGTTGGAGGACAAAGCTGTAGATGCCACATGAACTTAACTACACCTTCTAAACTAACCTGCTATCCTCGGCTGTGGTGGATGATGCTGTCCTGTCCCTAGCCAATCTGTTCAGTTTCTGTACATGAAATGAGGCTGGGGCAGGGGCCTTGCCCTTAAGGTAACTTGGGCCAGCCCTGGACACACGCTCCCTCTGATCTGAGATCTCAGATTATGGAAAAGACATCCAAACCTACCTCATGAGTGTTCCCCCATTAAAAAGTGCTGTGAAGGGGTTGGCATCAATGCTATACTAGACATGGCCAAACTTGGCCCTCTAGATGTTTTTGGACTACAATTCCCATCATCCCTGACCACTGGTCCTGTTAGCTAGGGATGATGGGAGTTGTAGTCCCAAAACATCTAGAGGGCCAAGTTTGGCCATGCCTGCGTAAACGTTCTTTATCCAGATATAGTTATGCCACTGGTATACACTATTACAGCCAGTTTGCTTATTTGAGTGTATTTAGTACGTACTGCATTGTATTGTATTTAATTGTATATGTGTGGCCTCAATATCCCATTGAAGTATAACGTGCTATGTTGTTGGTTTGAGTGGTTTAGAAGAACACTGCAGGGAAAGAAGTTCTCAAATTTCTGGTTGCAAATAGTTGCTCTTTAAAGTTGCTTTAACTTTAAGCCTGTATTTAACTCCAATGTCGTCATTTATGCTACTTATATGGGTCTCAAGAACAGTTTGATTGAAATATTGCTTAGAGAAATATAGAATGTGCAGCTAATGTCTGAGACTCATAAATCAGAAAAGACCGTTAAATCTTGGTTGATCTGGACATAAATTAATGTTTTCAGCTACCGTTTATTCAAATCTTATCCGATATGTAATGTTAATAGTGGAGTTCCTGTTACACAGTTTCCTTATCAATGTTTTTAAATGTAACAGAAAGGAGGTTTAATTGGATCTGTGAATTTCTTTGCCCTCATCTATTCCCAGAACCTTGTCTGTTTATTTAAGAAGGTGTACATAAGGTATCTTTTTAAGTTTAAGCATAGTTTATTTATATGCCATTTCCCCACTGTAAACATATGCCCAAAGTGGTCTGCAATTTGAAAACAGTTTATTAGAAAACATATCAGGAAAACTAAAAGCAGTTAATTAACCTGATAAGTTAGTGTTGCAGTAGAATAGTCTAGACTTAATTTTGATATTGCCCTGTATATATGTATTTACAGGCTAGTAATAATAGGACTAACCAGTGCTAGTAGTTATAGTCTTGCTGCCCTCCCAAGGGGCCACAGCAGCCTGGCTTAAATATGGTTCAGAGTGGGTGGGGCTGTGTTCCCCCCACCCCCACCAAATGGTTCAAAGTCAGCTTGGCCACCTCTCCTCCAGAGGACTCTGGCATCAGTAAAAGGGACTTACTGGGAGAGTATCAGTGATGTAACCCCTCTTGCCAAGCCTTCCAGGTGTTCCAGCTGCTATCATTGCTCCTACTGTGATTGTTGTGACCATTGTGTCACCTAATTTGTGTCGATTGGCATCAGGATGGATTATTGCCCATACATTGTTAGCCTGCCCAGAGGATCAGTGATGACTACAGCTAGGATGTCGGATTGGTGGTATGGATGGCCCTTTCTTTATTTTCAAAAGACTCATTTAAGGGGCTTTGTCCATGTTCAGGGAATGGCCGTTTCGTGGGTACAATGCTCTGTAGTAGACAAGAGTTTTTGCTTCTGACTCCTTTGAACTCTGCTTTTACGAATTTAAATGAGTGAAAACTAGTGCTCAAATTATATTTTGCTTTTCATAAAATAAATAAGCCAAGACTTACGGGTGCAGGCCACTTAAACTGCCAAGGGTGTAATTGAGAAGACTTGTTTAGCCAATGGGCTAAGGCACACTTTTTAAATTACAGCAGTTACAATGCTAATAGTATAGTGCTGTAGCTTTACCATAGTACAGCTTGAGTTCCTACATACAGACTGAGGAGATAGGGTAGTATCTTAGTCACTATAAGTCTACAGCAGAGTACAACAACACCCCCACCCCCATTAAAAGAGAGTTCCTGGGTTGCTATGAATGCCACAAAGCTCCCTCATGGCTGCTTTGATAGATTCAAGAAGAATATGTTCTTGCATTTCTTTCTATCTCCTCTCTCCATCTTCCTAACAGCTGGTCAAAGAAAGTAGAAGGTCAAGCATATTTTGCTCTTCCACCCATACCAAATATAGGATTGTTTCCTTTCATTGTACTGTCATATTCTAGCACTCCTATATAATCCGTTAAAATGCTTCAAGATGTGGCCTATTCCCCCGCCTCAAAGCTCTTACCACCACAGTGCTAAAATCTCCCCTTGAGTCTTTGTACATTCATATCATGAATAACTCCTTCTTCAGATATTTACAAGTGGCTCATAGATCTTCTTAGTTGCATCAATATTAATCAATCCCTCTATGCAAAATTGTGTTTCATTGTTTGCCTTTTAAAAAAACCAACCTTACCATCGTCAGCCTGGATAGCTCAGTTGGTTAGAGCATGGTGCTGATAAAGCCAAGGTTGCAAGTTTGATCTCTGTATGGGACATCTGCATATTCCTTCATTGCAGGGGGTTGGACTAGATGATCCTCAGGGTCTCTTCCATCTCTACAACTCTGTGATTAGGACACAGGGTTGTGTTTTATTGTCTTACTCAGAGTAGACCCATTGAAGTTAATAAACCTAAGTTAGTCATGTCCATTAATTTAAGTAGGTCTAGCGTTGAATACTAATCACAGCTAAAAAAAAAAAATGTTAATAGCATGTAATAAAAGAAAACAAAGAGAGGTTAGGAGTTATAAAACAGAGATTAACGTTCAAAAACAGCTTTAAGTTTTAGTCACTCCTTGGATTTCCCCCCCCCCCCCAAAATCGTGCCACTCATGTAGGTAGCAGACTGAGGCAAGTGGAGTCATGTACTCCCACTCTACAGAATCCCTTCCAGTGACAACATATTAACAAGTATAAAAAAGTGTTACTCTTCCTCTCTGCCTACTTATTTTTTGTGCTTCTCAGCAATCAGTATTTCTGCTTCTCAGCTTCATTGCTCATTGTAGCTCCCTCCAGTATGTTCCTTATGCTTACATATACACATTGGACTGACACTTTCCGTAGTGATGTGTTTTTTTCTGCTTTACAATTGTATACTGTCAATTTTGTAAATATACTTTTGGGTTTCAGAATCTTAGGTGAAGAATTTTAGCAGTAAGATTGCTATAGGCACAAAGATGGAAAGATACAGCCCTACCTACTATAAATGAATGGTTGATAAAATTCTCGGATTTAACTGAGATGGCAAAATTAATGTGTTTAATTAGAGAAAAATCATTATTGACGTTTATTAAGGATTGGAAACTTCTTATGGACTTTTTGCATGCAAGAGAAAATGAACTTATAATATCTGGATCTGAAGATTGGAAAAATTAGCTAATAGAAAATAGACTAGGTAAAGGGACCCCTGATATTATATTAATATTAAGATATTAATAAAAAAAAAATTTATATGCCGGTTAATTTATCCTGAATGGTATTTCTCTAGTGCTATATGTGCACTACAACTGCAACAGAAAACTCAAACTATTTTTCTTATTTTTCTTAAACGAACAATAAGAAATTAGAAAATGTACAGTTTGCTGTGCTGAATAATCAGGAATCAGAATGTGACAATGCATATTTGTATATTTCCCTGTTCCTTCCTATTTTTCTAGCATATGTTCCATACATGATTTGTCAAAGTCACAATTCTGCAGAAATATTGCAGTTTGAATAAATTGCATGTATTTATTTTGCATAAATTTACAGAATTCACGCTCCGATGTCTTCTCCACATTAATACAGAACATGGATATATTTTGTATAACACAGTCCACTTAACACAAGAATCTCCTTCCTTTTTCCTTCCCTGCATGAATGGATATGAAAAATCATCTTTTTTCAAATCTACATATGCCATCTTGAGAAACAGATAAATTTCCTCTTAACATGCAATCAACTTCTCCAGTTTTCATTGGTTCTTGACCAATAGCTTATTTATATCTTGACTAGAAACAATATTCTCAGCCAAATTGCTTGGGAAAAGATTCCCCCCCCTGCCTTAGTTTGGCCAAACCCTATACAGTGGTACCTCAGGTTAAGAACTTAATTCGTTCTTAACCTGAAACTGTTCTTAACCTGAGGTACCACTTTAGCTAATGGGGCCTCCCGCTGCCGCTGTGCCACTGCCGCACAATTTCTGTTCTCATCCTGAAGCAAAGTTCTTAACCTGAGGTACTATTTCTGGGTTGGCAGAGTCTGTAACCTGAAGCGTCTGTAACTTGAGGTACCACTGTATGCCCATTGTTTCCCAATCCTACATTGCCTTTCTTTTTTTTTCTTTTTTTAAAATTCTTTTTATTAATTTTCAGTAACCAAACCAAAAAACAACAACGAATAAACACACCAAAGAAAATCCTACATTGCCTTTCAATTATATCTAAGAAGTAGCTGTGCTAGTGTTGCCCATGAGATTGTTGCTCACCCCTGCAGACCCACATTGATTTCTGACTATTCATTTTCATTTTTGTTATGCATAGAAATTGTTGCCCAGAACGTCTTTCAGTGTGTATGGGTCTCTAGTTTTCCTGGTCCTAATCTCTCAGCACATTTTTTTTGTGTGTTCAACATTGTTTGGTTCTAAGCAGTGCTTTTTTTTTTCCTTAAAAAAATGTTTGGGGGTACTCTCATCTTGATTCAAGAAAAATCACCATTTTATAGTTCAAATTGGGAAAAATAAATACAGTGAATGGACAAAAGTACAACGATTCACAAAATGTTTAGGGGTATGCGTCCCCCCAGAAAAAAAGCACTGGTTCTGTGTCTTTCAGAATTGGCCAAAAGCTGCTGCTGACAGGGTTGTTCATCCTAGAAGATAGCTAGGCAACCTTTAGAAGTAGCATTGTAGAATACAGTGGTACCTTGGGTTACAAACACTTCAGGTTACAAACTCCACTAGCCCGGAAGTAGTACCTCAGGTTGAGAACTTTGCCCCAGGATAAGAATGGAAATTGCGCACCGGCGGCAGCGGGAGGCCCCATTAGTGAAAGCGCGTCTCCGGATAAGAACGGTTTCGGGTTAAGAACAAATTAAGTTCATAACCCGAGGTACCACTGTACATGGTACTTGCTTGCCACTTAGTGCTAAAATGTTTGTAGTAATGCAAATAGCTGTTAGAAAGGGAAAGACCTACTATGCTCCCCTTTCAACTTCCTGATAGCGCACCCTGACATACGGTAGATAATCCAAGGAGTTCTACAGGTGGACAGATGTGCAGACTTAAAATGGACTTACTAGAACTTGAGTTGATAATAGTCATTCAACATCCCTTAATAGAAGAAAGTTTTCAGATTCAGATTCTTTGGAGCAACTCGGATGGGTTTCCCAAGAGTCTCATTATAATAAGTGCTTCAGTTGTTGATGAAATGATCAGCTCTAGAAATTCTCAAGTTTGCATATCTTTGTTGTTGTGTGTCCTCATAGCAACAATGGAGATGTGATTATTTTGCCGGTTGTGAAGTCTGTGAAAGACGTACTGGGGGATGCTGAAGGGCTGTAGATTTTGAAACAGCCTTATAAATTTCTTTCTCCCCCCCCCCCCCAATTTTGCATTATAGAGTAGGTTCTAATGCTTCCTTTGGGCTTATGATAATCATTTTTGGGGGTTCCAGTTTGTGTAAACTTAAAGATCTTTTCCTGATTTATTCTGAATATTGCTATGGTAACCGCCTCACAGAGTGTGGTTGGAACATATCAATCTTGTTTATGCATATAGAAACTCTAGTTGTAAATTATTTGTGATCTATTCAGTAACCATACAGGAACAGGACAACAAAAAAATAGACTACTAGGTGTTCTTGGGATCCAGTCGCTCAAAATAGTTTTGTCTGATTTGAGAGACCCCCTTACACTGGCAGTATACTCCGCAGGTGGAGAATCTATTGTAAGCTTTAAGAATATAACTTTTTTTCCATTCCAGGTGAGAAATGTGTGGCATAAATGACTGATGCAGATGTGTGAGTAGAAGGGCTTGTAAAATATAGTAGTTGTAGTCATAGTAGTAGTAGTAGTAGTAGTGTTGCTGTTATAGGTTAGCAATTTTGCAGTTATTTCCAAGGCTGCTTTCATTGAATGAATTTTTAAGAAGTTATATTTCAATTACTTGATTGAATTTTTGCTGATGCCTCATAAGGTGCTGAACTTCTTCTAAAGTCATTGCATATTATGTACCAAAAGTACTAGTTTATGTTTGAATCCATTAGTTCTTGGGGACATAGCAGCCTTCAGGGCTTACCAGCACTGAACTTGCTATCTTTGGCTGCCCTTTGTGCTGTTCCATTGTGAAGTTTCCTCAACCAGAGGCCAAGTAGCTTTAAATGTTTGTTTTAGTGAAACACTGAAAGGTTCGTCTGTAGTCTTGTAGCACAACTTAAAAACCTTTTCCTTAGGATGTACGCAGTTCAGCATGCTACTCAAAACTGTCCCTGATGGTGACAACATGAAAGTGATTTTGAAGGAATGACAGTGCAAGGTTGACTTGTGGTCATACAACTTGCTTAAAACGTTAGCCAATCCTTTTTTAAAAAGAATCTAGTGAGCAGCTTTTTAGAAAGGATATTTCCTGTTGACATGGTTCAAGTCTTAGAGCTCAGGAACTGCCTTTTCCCTTTCATAGTGAGCTAGCTGAACTATATTATGTGTTGTGATCAATACTGTGCCCTTGGTAACAGGCTTATTGCTGCTGCAGAATCTGTTCACTTTAGGCTTGTAACGGGGTGGGGTGGGGGTGGGAATCAACTAGCTGGCCATGGATTGGGTATTCTAATCAAGTTGGAAGCATGGTGGTGTATGCTGAGAATCCAGGCGTGAGGGTGGGACAGGGTGCTCTATTTCTGCATACAGGTGGATGATCTCGAGCTAAATATCTGGTACCATTGCTCTCCTGGCACTAGAGGTGGGAGGGCTGTCATTCATAGATATCAGAACTAGAGCATGGGAGTTTGCTGTTAGAAATGGGCAGAATCAGACTTATTGTTGAATCAGTGGGAATTCCTTCTTCACCTTCTTGCAGAATTCTTTATGTAATTTGAACCTGTATTATGGAAGCTTTCACCTTCAGCCATTCATCCCACATACACAAGAATCCTGGTCAGAATTTTGTGCATTCTTTTCCAGCCCCACAGGGAGAGGATTAATTTGGATCCAGGCAAGCTCTAAATAAGAGGGTATTGCCAATTCTTATTAAAGTTGGATTGAATGACTGTATACATAACAAAGCATGACCTTCCTCTGTCTCGATGAAGCTAATTCTCCTGTGTTCTCATTGCTGCAGCTGTGTGGGCTGAATATTGCATTTTGCAATTAAGTTAGGGCATGATTGAAAATACTTTATAGCCTGTATGAGACCAACCAAAAATGCATTTTAGGGATTGCCACCCTTAATACAACAGAGACAGGACAACCACCTCTCATTAACAGTTTAGCACCCTTTTGAAAAGAAGTGCCAAAAATCACCAAAAGGAGGAGGGAAGCGTCTCACAGTGGTGAAAATGTTTGCAAAATCTGCCTCCATTTCAGTTCTCCTCTACTTTCAAACGTTTTGACTCTTCCATTTTTGGATTGAGCACAGCTGCTTGTGTCATCCAAAACCAACAAATGGTGGTTTAGAAGATCACAGAACATCGCTTTTGTCATTTTTATTTGGATTTGTTCATGAGGTCCATAACTTTTAGTATATGCTGAAAGGGGTAAGTTCCTCCAGTGTGCAGGAGTTGTGATCTTTTCAACAGTAAAGGATGTTTTGCTTTGTGTTTGGTGCTCACCAAGTTTTTCTTAAACCTTGTTACCTGCTTTACAACCTGTGGCTGAATATGTAACCTCCATTAAGATCTTTGCCAAGAAACAGCTTTATCTTTTCCCCATTTTAAAAGCAATTAGCTGGTTTTTATTTAAGACCTTGGGGTAATTGCTGTCCATGCATCAGTACACTTAATATTAGTATGTTAATTTATAATGTGGCCCAAGGGTTGGATATGCTGGAAATAATGGCAGTCTGGATCCCCTCTTGACTCTTCCAGGTGCTGCCTTTGGGTAATCAATTAGTATGCACCTTTATTGTCTCCAAATGTATTTTGTGTTTGGCGCAAAATGACATGGCTGCCACTGCACCTTTAGAACAACCAAACTACCTTCCTACCCACCCGCCCTGTGTCAAACACTGTCATTATCAGCGTCCTATTCCTAAACTTGTTCCTTTTTGATATTGCCCCTGCTTTTAAATGATGCTAGGCCAATAAGAGAGAGCAAAATCATTGGCATGGATGGGAAATCATGACCTCCCCTTTTTTCTTGCAAACTATCAGGTACTGCAAAATGAACTATTATTAATATTCATTTCATTTCTATGTTTCTTTATATTGTTAAGGAAAAAACCCTCAAATGTAACTATTGATGTGTAAACTTTACTCTCAAAAGGGAAGGGGGTTATTTGGAACTCTGCTAAGTAAGTAGTCTGAGGAACTGAACATATAATTTCATGTTGAAACTCTGCAACTGACACATCAAGATAGCTTAAATTCATTTGATGTTTAAGTTGACTAAGCTAGTGGTGCCATGTACCAAGCGTGATGGGGTAGCTCCCATTTCTCTGTCGCAGCTCCTGCCAACCTAGTAGTTCAAAAGCATACCAGCACGAGTAGATAACTAGATACCACTGCGGTGGGAAGGTAAAGGGTGTTTCTATGCTCTCTGGCTTCTGTCACGCCAGAAGCAGTTTAGTCATGCTGGCCACATAACCTGGAAAGCTGTCTGTTTGACAAACGCTGGCTCCCTGAAGTGATTTGAGTGCCACACCCCATAGTCTTAAGTTTGACTGGACTTAACTGTCCAGGGGTCCATATATATGTATGTATGTATGTATGTATGTATGTATGTATAATTTATACCCTGCCCTCCCCGGCCAGGGCCGGGCTCAGGGCGGCTAATACCGAATATGAATTACAATAAAACGTGATAGAAAAACAAACAAACCAACAACAACAACAACAAACAAACGGGAACAACAACCAAAAAATGAACTGTCACGGATAGGAGAATACCACTGTGAATTCATTCAAGGCCTTGAAAACTCCAGTTCTGGATTCTGCAGTCTTTCTGTTCCTAAGTGCTTCCCTTTTATAGGTAGCCTTTGGCATTTTTTTAAAAAAAGTGGGAGTTAATGAGTTGCAGAAACGATTCACCTTTGCCCAGCAGTATTTGTAAGGCTATAATGTTCAGCTGCTGGACATGGGCAAATCAGCTTCTAAGTAGCCCTGCTAGAATTCTTGGCTGAAACTTATCAGTATTCTACCCTAATAAATTGCTGGTGTATTAACACAGTAACAGCACTGAAAGAATAAATGCAGCAACAGGAATTACTACTCCCATAGCAACTGTGCAGCTCCCCCACTAATCATTACATTATCCTCTAGCGGCTCCCCTAGTAATCATATACAGAGCATGAGTCTTCTTCATGCTGCAGCACTGAAATTGCATTGCTGCCAATACTTTGCTTCCATTTTCAAGGGCCTGGACAAATCAAGGTTATAAGAATAGGGAGCAGCAGCCATTCTCTTTGTTGTATTTGGGCCGGACACTGTAATATTTGGGATAGAATTTCTGCATAAGGGAGATCTAAAATTCTTCCCCCCCCCTTCCAACCCCTGATACTTTCAAAGAGCTTCTCTGCTAGACAATCAGCTTTTGTGAAGCTCTTGAAGGTAACTTTTCCCATCTTCTCCCCATTGCATGACAAATATCCCCTCTCCCAGCACCATTTTGCTTATAGCCTAATGCAAGCATAGGCAGAGTAGGCCCTCCAGATGTTTTGGGACTACAACTCCTATCATCCCTAGATAACAGGACCAGTGGTCAGGGATGATGGGAGTAGTAGTCCCAAAACATCTGGAGGGCCGAGTTTGCCTATGCCTGGCCTAATGTGTCTAAGTAGCCAGGAACATGTAATAGTTCTTTGTTTTAGAAATTTTGTATCTTGGGAAACTTTATAGGTTCAAAATGGTACAAATGTGGTTATATGATGATATTGGCCTTCTTATAGCCATCCGTTTTCTCCATGTTTCTTTCAAAGTAGAATCATGCCTTATCAGAAAATTCTCTTTAAGCCACACAAGGAATTCTTCAGAAGTAGGTGTTTAACTGCTGCCCTAAGGCAAGACTGTTCTGTGTCATCTGTGGACCTCCCTTTGTAAATGTGTGGGGTTGTAGCATTTGTCAGTACTAACTGGGATTTTTGGTGGGTTCTCTTTTGATAATAGGCAATCCAAGGCTGTTTAAAGATAGTAACTTCAAAGACTTGATGTTGCTATCATTGCCCATAGCACACACACACACATTATTTCTAGTCAAACATGTTTTGCAGGTTTTTGAAGTGCTTCAAGAAATACTTTGAAAGAGCCAAAATTGGCTCTGAGCACCATGATCAGTACTGCCACAATAATAATATTAAAATATTTTTTATAATGCAGTCCCCCAGTTTCCCTCTCCACCTCATTTAAGAACGCTTTTTCCCTTTAAAACTTAATTAGGGGTGAATATTTTTAGACCAGAAGCTGCTTCTGATGCTGTCTGGTCAATTTCACAAGTCATTGACTAGTACAGGGCTCAAGTAAGTGACTGGAATTAGAAATTGGGGGCAGGCATTCTCTTTCTCCTTCCTCTCCAACTTCCATTATTGCAATTGCTGAACAAGGCTTGGGTTACAGTAATAGTAAAGGGGAGATTTACACCCATTGCTCTACAGAAAAGTATCACAATGCAGCCTAAAATATGTGGCCTAAGCTAACTTCTGTCAGTCATCTCCAATTTGACCCTGGGGGATAATGCCCTGCAGTTCCAGGATGTCAGAGGAGCTTTCATGCTTTTGTATGACTGACACAAGCAGAACTGATGCATTTCCCCCCCCCTCTCTCTTAAATCTGCTTTTTATTAAATATGACAACTTGCTTCCAAAAATAAATGAATTAAAACAATTAACATCCCAAAGTCTCTAAACTTACAAATGTTACAGGAGCTTACAAGGAAACAGGTCTAGGCTCCTAAGAGAAAATTCTGCTGAGATAATGATCTTTTCTATGGGGTAACCAATCTTTACTGATGGCAATAGTCATTCAAAGTAGTTTGGGTCTGCAGCCTAAATTGTAGTAGTAAGGATCACATTTAAAAAAAAAAATTCTCTGGTTAGAAAGACTGTGTGAAAAGTACTTACGGTATTTTATTTGTACTTTAAAAAATTATATACTGCTAGATTGTAGTAAAATCTCTAAGCAGTTTATAAGAAATAGTAAAATCATCAATTGTTGTTGTTGTTTAGTCGTTTAGTCATGTCCAACTCTTCGTGACCCCATGGACCAGAGCACGCCAGGCCCTCCTGTCTTCCACTGCCTCCCGCAGTTTGGTCAAACTCATGTTAGTAGCTTCGAGAACACTGTGCAACCATCTCATCCTCTGCCATCCTCTTCTCCTTGTGCCCTCAATCTTTCCCAACATCAGGGTCTTTTCCAGGGTGTCTTCTCTTCTCATCAATAAAATCATCAATAAAAGCAGATAAATGCAATTAAAACATTTTAAAATAATTAGAATTAACAGTTCAAAAGATTAAAATGTGTCAGCATTTATTTGTCTGGGTAGACTTACATAAATGAAACTTTCAAGCCAGTGGTGCAAAGAGTTCCCTGGGAAGTGGAATTTCTTGTTAAAGCATTCTGGAAATTGTAGTTGTGTGAGGAGAAATGTTTAAAATAGCACAATACTTCTTTAAATGTATAATGCACATGGGACCTTATATTTTGTACTCTGGGAAGCAGGGTGCAGCATTTATGTTCACGTCAATTTATTCATCTCACTGAGTGTTACAGACATATTTTTTAACTTGGTAGTTTCTGTGTTGCAATTTCTGGGATTGGAAATTCTCACCCTTTCCTCCATTTTTAATAATGTAACTTTAAGGAGAAATCACAGATTTTAGCAGCTGTGGCTTTTCATGTGGTTATATAAGGCAGTGTGCATGCAACTTTAGATAAGACGCTTTAAAGTTCCATTTCAACTACTCATATATTGCACCCACAAAAAGCTGTCATATAAGTGGCAAAACCATCATTTACTTGGGCTCTGTCTTGGGACAATTGCTGGCTCTGTTCTGATAAAATGTAGAAGTCTTGTGTCAGAATGAATATGCTGTTATGAGCAAAAAGAACAGGTCATATTAGGACATGCTGCAGCATTTAATTTCTGTGGAAGCAAAAAAGCAGTGTGCAAATTTAGTATCCCCTCAGTGCAAGTGAGCTCCTGTTAGGGATCACTCTGGCTCCCACTCTGGGCCCTGGGCAAAGACAGTCAGTGTCTCCCCTTCCGAGTACCTTGGAGGGGATGCTACATGTGATTAGCACAAAGACTCCAGGCTGGTGGCTTTGCCTGATGTTTCCTGGGGTAAAGGAGAAAGCACTTTGTTGCTTTGGGATTTCAGTCAATCCTGTATGAGGGATGGTAGCGGAGAGTTTATTATCTGGTCTCATTTCCCCCCTGCCTCCAGTAGTAAACCACTGTCATATCAGGTCTTTTAATTATTTTTAATAGATGTATTCTAAACTGTCGATCTTGACTTTCACTACAGTGAACACTCAATTTAGTAGCTCCCCCACCCTTTAAATTGCCATATACTAATGTAAGGGACAGAGAGGTGATGGCCCGGGTACTTGTCCATATTGTTTTGACATTTACGTCCAGCCTAATGCTCTTCACATACTTCAGAAACAAACATGCTGGTATTTATAGTCTGCTGACATGTAAGATGTGGTTATAAGGGGGAAGGAAACAAATCGGCATAAATTGAAATAATCCCGACTCCTTACCTCTTACTGTCCAGATTCTCCAGAGTGAGTATGTTAAAATTTGGGATATGCAAATAAACTGTTCAAATCTTCTGACAAGCAATAGTATTGCTTCTAGAGTTGTATCTTTTGGGACATTGTGAAGACACTGTTTCCTGTTTGCAGCAGTTAGTAACATGAATGAAATGTTTGTTTGATTTAGGAACTCTAGAGGTGGAGAGGAGTGCCATTCAGCAAAAATATAGAGGATCTGCACAAGGAGATACCATGTCTGCAAATTTCATTTCTGTCCGGCTTTGCAACCCAATTACTTCTTCACTGTTCATGAGTATTTATTTAGATTCCGACACCAACCTGCAAAACAGTCTTCAGTCACACACTGTTTATTTGCCCAAGTTGCTTTTTCTTTTTATTATGAATGGTGGCTGATCTTACAGGTCCACCCCTACCTTCTTGTCTTAAGTCAGCTGGCAACTGGGATTGGCTCTCCCAATTTGGATGAGATTGCAGAACAAGTTAGTTCACTTATAAATTGCTTCCCTCAACAGAGTGTCTGGAAGCAACTTACAAGCATAGAACATGATGACACAATTAAAAAAACAAAAACCTTAACGCCACAAAAGTTTTTTCCTCTTAAGGAAAGACACTGGCATGTTGAGCAATCTCCATGTCTTTGCCAAATGTGCTAGACAGGAAAGACTGTCACAAAATTGCACTAGCAGTTTTAGAACATCCTGGTGTGTGTCTGTATTGTAGGAACAACAGATCTTAGTGCTCTGTAGGTGGGATTGTACCTCTGCTGGAGGCAATATTCAGTCACCTTGAGTGACCAGACAGTAATCAAACTGCAAGCTTGTTTTGTGAGAATGAAATTCGAGTCATGGCTGTGGGGCAAGAATAATCCAAGAAAGTTCAATTGAGGAATGTTGTGTGCTTATCTTCATAAAGCCAGAGGATCTGTCACTCAGCTGTGATGAGTACAGAAGAAAGTGATTGGGGTTACAGGAGCAGCCTACCCATGTCCTTTGTGGGGCACATGTTGCAATGTGTGGTGGGATAACATTATATGGCACCATGTGGAACAGCCTTCCCCAATCTGGTGCCCCCCAGATGTTTCAGACCAGCCTTTCCCAACCTTGGCACCCTATATGTTGTTGTACTACAACTCCCTTCACCACTGGACCTGCTACCTAGGGATGATGGGAGTTGTAGTCTAGCAGCATAAGGGGACTCAATATTGAGAAAGGCTGTTTTACACTAATTCCCATCAGCATGGCGTGTGGTCAGGGACATCTGGAGAACGGGCTGAGGAAGGCTGGTTTAGAGAGTACAGCTGAGGCTACAACCATGGGATGTTAGCTTTAGCTTTTGACATCCTCATGCCTCTTCACTTCTGTTTGGTATCTGCCACTTTGCAGGATCAAGAATTTTGACTACTTCTATTTTGGGTGATATCCCTACTCCATTGTTGAATTTACTCCCACATGGTTCTCCCACCACCCCCTTGGGTGTGTTTCAGGTAAAGCTTAACTTCAGTAAAACCAACTGCTGTTCACAAGGCTCCATTTCACATAAGGTTGCTTAGAAATCAGAATGACAAAATAGCTCCAATTGCAGATTTTTATGGGCTTATATGTTTCTTCAAGATTAGTTTATTCCAGTCTCTAATTCTGAGCAAAGGGACTGGCTGCTCTAGTTTATTTGATAATAACCATATGTGCTGAACAAATAAGCCACAAAAAGCTACGTGTTCTATTTTTTTCTATAAAAAGCAATTTAATGTGCTTAAATGAGTATAGTAATCTCAGGTATGCGGAGAACAATTTTTGTGCTGAGCAGCAATAATTTGCACCCTACAGAGCTTTTTCTTCAGTTCATGTTTTTAAAGGATCTGGAGGCCTGTGAATGTTTTATTTTATGCCCTCGGTTCTTAGCCAAGGATAATCTTCAGAAAAGATCAGGAGTTGGGCCTTAGGTTTGTGCACCCTTTTAAACATTAAAAGAAGTGAATGACCAGATTAGGAGATTTTATTCTGAGGGTTTCATTCTCTTTCATCAAGAACTATTCTACATTCCAAAACGGGAACCTCCCAATTTATTGCTCACTTTCCCCTGAGGTAAGGGAATGGAAGACCCTGTGCAAGATTGAGGCCTAATTCATTTCATTCCTGGAGGATAACTCATCCAAAGGCTGGGATGGGAATAATGTCGATGCAGGCCTTGAGATGTCCATGTAGAAGTTGTTCTTTTTGTGCAGCAGTGCAGGTCAATAGTAGAAGGATCCAAGCTCTAGAATGTAAATTCTTCTTCCCCATCTTTATCATGGTCATGGAAAAACTTGTAGAAGAATTGTTCTTGTAAGTAATATTTTACTCTAAGGTAAATTTATTAAAATAATGAGAAATTTGGGCTGTGATTCCCGAAACCATTTTAACGGAGAATACTTCCAATTAAATGGTTGGTTCTTTTAAAATGCAGGTTTTTCCAGCTGTACAAATCCCCACCCCTAGAAGAAGGCAAATGAACTCAAAGGCACTCTGTTCCTGGCTTACACCCTTAATCGGTCAAGTTTTTGCCATAGAAATCACTAGCTATTACCTACTATCCATTGATGATTTTTTTTTATTTGCCCTAGACTAACAGGTGCAAAAACAGGAGTATTTTAAGGGTATATACAAGGATGTGACGAAGTATTTCCTGCCCAAAGATGAAAGTGAAGAAGAGGAGGTTCTGGCCCCCCAAAAAGAAGGGAATTTTAAATTGAGTTTGAGCAGTTTGTTTCAAATATGGAAACTGAGCACATTCTATACATATATATTTGGCGTACATGCCATCGGTGACACTACCTATCATTTAAGGGCTTAATAAAACACATATGCCTAAGATGTCTACTTCCTCTCCCCTCATTTTTCCAACTGCACATTATCAGCTTTCCAGCAGCACATTTTTCCAACTCTAGATTTTGTGCCAACTACACACTAAAAAAACCCTTTGTTAAATTGTGATGTTGGTCCTACCTGAGGTAATAAAACTAAAACCTGTGGATTGCAGCCATAAAGCTGCAGTCATAACTTTCTAAAACAGAAGGAAGTGTCCATCTTAAGGAAAGTCTGTCCGTGAGAAAGGGTTGTAATTACAGTTGTGTTTCTTTGACTCTATTTGTAACACAAGTGGTTTATAAATGTTGGTCTACCATATTAACACATTACCATGCTGCAATAATGGCAGTAGTGCCAACAATACTAGCTTATCACCTCTTTGGGTTGAGTAGCACTTGACATTGCTCCTTAGAATCCATCTTCCTGCCTCACCTTAAAGGAGGAACACAATCTCTTCCTCTTGACATAATGTACTAGGGTAAGGGCTGTTCTATTTACTGATGTGTATAATATGGTACAGCTCTCCTGCAATTGTATCAATTCAGAACGAAGGTGTGGATAACATGATTAAAGGTACTCAATGTTAAAAAAAGCTTTTCAGTGTAGGAAATTAACTCATAAGTTAGGATTTGAGATATACTATCTTTCCTTGTCTCCGGAGTGTTGTAGCTTAGTTCTTGGGAAGCAAATTGGGCCTTAGGACAAATATGGTAGCTGCAGCAAATCCATTGCATCAGTTGGCCAGCTACATATTAATGCTGGAATCTTAATCCACCTACCTGGGAACAAGCCCAACTGAATTCAGTAGGACTAACTTCTAAGTGAATATGGTTAGGATTGTGCTATAAATAATCATTGATTAGTTTCCCCCCCTTTCCCCCACAAAAGCAATTAAAGGCTGTAGAGTAATAAATATTGAGCCATTCAAATAGTCTGCAATTAAAATTATTGCAGCAGAATGTGGTAATTATAACATTTCCCCCTGCAGTAAACACGTATCATTCTTTCTTTCTGTAGGAAGAGACTCATGAAGTAGTTAGTTATTAAAGAAGTTAGTCTAAATAGCCCCAGGAGTAGCTTTTTGGAACACCGAGTACCTGAGATCTAGGCCAGTCAGATATTGCATTTTTTTGTGTTGCAGTGGAGACTATAAGGTTTAGCTTTGGTTTTAGTTTTTTTATATGTGGTTTAACTTAGAATGTTGGTGGAATGCACTGTCACTGTCAATCTTGCTGTCAGGATTAAGGCCTTCAAACTTGAAAATTTTTCAAGGTGTTACATACAACAAATGCATGGTGAATTAATATTAGGGCTAGAGTATACGAGGCAGGGGGACTAATAATGGTCACTAAGAAAAGGGGTTGGGGGCTAAGTGAGCCCAGTGGGAGTTTTGTCCAGCTCTCTTGGCTTCTGAATTGTCACCAGACATAGCATGGGTATTTTGGAACTGTTCTTGCAAGTGTTCATGCTAGAAATGAGCTTTAAAAAATTGCAGGTAAAGGGCAGTATATAAATTCAGTCAATCAATCATTCAGTGCAGATCCAATTCCTTTTTTTTCTTTTAAAAATAGTCTTTATTAGGTTTTCAAGAAAAAGTGAATACATAAGTTGAATAAGTTATCTGTTGAATGCCGATACAATTGCATTGCACTATAGTATTTCCCTCACTCAGCAAACAAACATACACAGAGCTATTATAACAAAAAAATCAATTAATTAGTTTAATTGAGGCAAAACTAACAGACTGTTTGGTTCCAAGTATCTTAAAAATGTCCCATACCCCTCAACAGGTAAGTGTAGCAAAGAAATAGGAATTTACACGCAAACAATAATACATACGAAAAGAGCAGTTTGGGTCAAGATGGCCACACCCTCATATAATGTGAAGAAGGAGAGAAATAGTTTTATAACTAACGAAGGTGATAAAATCATACCACTCTTCCACAAGATAAACATTCTTTGCTTGTCCCTAATGGCTTTACAATCATTATTTTTTTAACACATTATTGAGCTTTTCCTATTTCAGTCTTCTTTGTTGTCTTCTGCTTCCCTACTCCTTTACCTCTTATTTTTCAGTATTCAGCTGGAATGTGTTTAATCTTTTTTAAACTCCCTGAAGTGAATGGGTACTTAAAGTCCTGCTGCATGGCTTGTAGATGAGAACCTTAATTTTGTAAAAGTTCAGTTGTCAGGTCTATATGTCATAAGCCTATGCAGGCACATTCCAGAGGTCAAACTGGGGTAAGTAGGTCCTGGTGCCATCTTATAGACTTGAGAGCCAATAGTCTTCCTAATATTAACAAATGCATTTAACAATTCAGGTTTCACAATAGAAACTCATTTTATATTGATCATGTTAGTAACTCTCAGTTGATATTGGGGATAGTATGTTTTAATAGTAATAATGCTTGGTTTGGTATTAGTCTTACAGTTAACCTTTGTTTACAAAGTAAGGGCGATGCTGACTTAAGTATGTATGAGCTTCATGGATTAAAGGTCGAGGGAGAATCTAAACTGTTTCCCCCTACATGGTGTTGAAGTATTGGGTTCTAAAATATTTTCTTTGCTGCTAAATACTGTGCCACACCCGGTTAGGAAAGCAAATTCCAGCAGTGAAACGTGTGAGTTCCAATGAAAATATGACATTGTGAAGATTGCTTTTGGCTTTGGGAAAAATTCAGTCTCTACCCATGGTGAAAAGGGGCAGTTTTCTGCTTTCCTGGGTGAAGTCAAACTAGCAGGCCTTGAATATAGCAAGCTGTCCAGACCTTCCCCAAAACACGTGCTTGGACGTCTACATTCCACAGCTGTGTGTGCAGGAGACACTCTGTACCAGTCAATATTGGTGTCAGAGAGATTTGAGAGAGGATTTTCCTTTTAATGTCATCTAGAGATCACAGCACATGAACAAAGAAGATGATATTGTGAGGTCAACTGTTGAGGTTGCAGTTGGGTCCTGTCTTTTTCCCAGGGTTGTATTCCAGCCCCGTGTCATACACCATTTTGGTTTCAGGCTAAGTTTGAAATTGATTTAATGCTGGAGTAATTCACTTCATTAGTAAGCTGCTTGCCATGTTTGATAATATTTTTAGACAGGACAGATTTTACTAAGCTGCAGAGTTCAGATGAGCGCCCTTAAAGCCGGTTCAGGGATTACAGTGGTAAATTCAGCAGTTGATTTCATTAGCAAGCAGTTTCCTAGATCCAAATTGTCCTTTTTAGAACTTAAAAGCCAGATCCAAATGCAACTTGTTTGTTCCTCTTTGTATTCTGAAGAAATAGTAGTGACAAATGGGAGCACTGGCCAATTTTCAGCAAATGAATCTTTGCTCTGGATAAACAGGGACTTTTCTTGGGAGTAAATGGGAATCCACTGTTCGTCTGGAGCATTGGGAAAAGGTATGCTTATAGTTTCTATGCTTTCTCAACATAGTGGGAATTTGTTTTGACATACAGCATTTGCAAACTTTAAAGTTAGTTTGTTACCGATATGACAAACTGTAACCTGGATTATTGATTATTTTTGCATGATGTCTCTTGGGTTTTGAATTAGAAGTTTGACTTATGGTGGCTGTCCTGAATTTTTTTTAAAAAAGTTCCCCTGATTTCTTTTAAATAAATGTTACATTTATGGTTTACAGCAAAAACAGAGGAAGCTGCCTTGTCAGATCATTGGTCTGTCTCACTCAGTATTATCTACACTGACTGGCACTTTCAAATGAGGCAGTTTCTGAGGACATACCTGGAGATGCTGGTTATTGAACCTGAGACCTGTATGCAAAGTAGATGCCCTGCCACTGGGGTATGACAGATGTCTGACATTCTAACCACCTGTTAGGACTTGCACATATACTAGGGTTGCCATATTTCAAAAAGTAAACTTCCTGACACCCACAAAGTTGTTGAACTTTTTGGGGGAAGCCTCTCCCCAAAATAGTGATTTTAAGCTTTTGGAGCTGTTTCCGCTGCTTTTCCCACCACGTTGCCATACATCTGGATTTTTCCTGACATTTTGCCAATTCAGCAAAATTCCCCCAACGCCATTTTTACACCCAAAAACCAGGACATGTCAGGAATTTTCCTAACGTATGGCAAGCCTAACATGTACCAAATGCTTCTTGCTGGAACTTCAGATTAACAATAACATTGTTACCTCTGCCACCCACCTTAGTTTGTTGCCTTTTCCTTGTGCTTTTCTCAGTTCTCAAAGTTTCTGTTCTGCTTTTAAGGAAACCCCCTTTGATGTATTGCCACATATATAAACACATTCATTGTACGGAGGCCCCGTCTAAGCTTAGATTAACATCTTGATTTGTAGCAAATAGAGGAGTCTGGATTTTCAACTTCAGGTCTTCTACTGACCACCAAAAATCAGCAAGCCTGCATCACACATTGTGTTGTCCATCCAGTCACTTGAAGATAGCTTTCACTCACTTCTAGGTCAGCTGTACTACCAATAGTACAGAACACAATCAGCGGTAGATCCCTTCAGACACTTCTTTGTTGCTTTATAGGATCGGAACAGTTATTCTGCCTTATAGGATTGGGACAGTTATGGTGCACATAGGTTTATTATGAAATTTCATATTTAAGCTACCGTTTCTCAAACTGCTTCTAGTAGTATAGCCAGTCTTCCTGCCATTGTATCTTGACACCAACTTCGTGAAGCAGACTGTCCAAAGGTCACTAGTAAGTTTTGTGGCTAAGCAAGGAATTGAATCTAGGTCTTGCTGTAACTGCAGACTGCTACACCACACTGAGTTACTGGCTAATGATCAAGTTTCCTTATAGATATGCTGATTAAAAGGCCTTTGCTTGGATGCCACAGAACAAAAGCACTTGAGGTATAGCTGAAAAGAGGTGGTATACACACAGAGACACAGACACACAAACCTAAACAAGCAAGCATGCATGCATACAGCAGACATCCTATCACCTATGCTGAGAATGGCTGTAGCTGCCCTGCCAGTTGAGGGCACTCCTTTTCTGACATAGTTCTGTAGCCCCCTTTTTCTTAGGAGGAGAAGGTATTTTCCTCACATGCACAGCTATCGTTTGTCTGATTAGGTAGTTGCAGAAGGGAGGCTTTGTGGCTCTTGGGGCAGGCAAAAGAGCCTTTGGCATCAGTTCACAGTTCCCTCTTAATTGCTCAAAGCTTTGTGGTCTGTGTTACATAGAGTTCACAGGACCAGAGTGCAGCTTTACCTAGCCTGTAAAATCTTGTTGAAATCTCATTTGCATTTTTATTTATTTAGCAAACTTTATATACCACTTGATAATAAATAAAACTTCTAAGCGGTTTGAAAAATAAAGCAGACATTAAAGTTATATACAAAATAAATCTGTATCTCTGTCAACTTGTGTGTACTTATTTTATACTCACTGTAGTCCTTGATTCTTTCAGCAGCTAAATTTCTAAGGACTTCTTGGTGGCCCCAAGTGGTTATTTGATCTCTCAGACCTAATGCAGACATCTGCTCCCCCCTCCACTCTCTGCCTCTGGTGCAGTGGTGAAGAGGAAACCAGAAACAGCAGTTTTCATTTTAAACTAACCATACATTTGTTCTGTCCATTTTGATTAAATAGTTTGAAGAATAGCAGTCTTGGGAGGAAAATCCATCTTCTGATACCACTACAATTGAAATGAAGTGAAGTTTGTGTTTGTGCTTAAATCGTGAGTGATTTCATGGTAGTTGAGATGCCCAAGTTGTTTTTTAGATTGTCAAAGATGCTTCATAGTTTTGTGCTAGTATAGCAGCTGAAATTCCACTCTAGTTGGTCATGGAATAATGTAAAGATATTACGTAGACGCTCTTCTGAATAAAAAGGAAGCTGTAACAATTAAAGCCCCTGTGAGCCAATTTTTTACTTTGGGCCACTCTCCGTTTTCTCAGAGGAGAACTGGTTTTTCTGTGTGGCCTCCAGTTGTTGATTGCTAGCCTTCATGTTATAGCTGATGGCTTGTCTGGTAGTGCTATAGAGTACAGTTTGTATTCCTGTGCTTTTCTGACTGAAGGAAATGGTATTAATTTACCAATATATCCCTTTTGGTCTAAAGATCTTCACAATTGTGACTGCTCAACATTTACAGTTGCTGACGTCTACTGAAGCCTTGAATACTGCCATATAACATGCAATTAATGGGACTTGACAATGCAGTACTTAAAATGTCAGAGGCCAATGAAGCTCTGCCTTAACAAGAACAAATTCTTTTGCTCCCTGTGGTGGTACCCTTATGGTGATAGCAATGGTAGGTGATGTGATATGAGGGAAGCCTAATTTAGGCGGATAATTTTGAATGCTCTTTCATCCATTTTGGTATCTACTTATTGTGCTTTTCCCATTTTTGAATGTCACAGCACTTCATTAATCCTATTCGTCATGCTTTTGTTCTGAGGGAAGCATGGCTCCTACACATCAGCTGTGGCAAAGAACATGTACCTTTATTGGGCTAGTGAAAACAGCTCAGGGGGCCTGCCAAGCAGGGGAGGGGGAGAAACATGGTAGATTGAATTCAATCAAGCCAATGTAAACAGATTATTTTAAATCACAAAAGAAAATAGACTTTCTTTATTTTGTCCTGTTGTATAAATCAAACTAACTAGTTGCTGTAGCATACTCCTTATAAACCTAGAAGAATAATCCAAAACAGTTGGGTGTTTAGCACACATGCTTTGTGAACTACAGGATCATCTCCTTAGGGGCAAATTTGGGCAATTGTGAAATAAACACAATTGTATGTATGCATAGACCCTAAGAAAGAACACTTGAATTATGGCTAAATGCCAAATAACTTTTCAGAGGCTGGGGTTAGTAATTACTGAGCAGATTAGTGTTTCTCTGTGAGGTGAAAAGTAAGAGAATTGTCCAGCAAAACTTAATTCTCATTTAATTTTATGGAAGAGTAAATCATTGAATTAATACTCTCCCTTTTTTATGTTAATAGGACTTAAAACTTGGTTGTCCTGTTTAGTTGACATTCTTCAATGCTCACACTCTGCCACAGTTAATACATACACTACTGCATCAGTATAATTCTTGATCAGAGGCCGCCCCCCCTTCTTAAATGGAAAGCAAACTTTAATTCTTTCTGTTGTAGTAATTAATGGATTCTATTTTAAAAGGTTATGTGAACTTTTGTTTGTATTATAATCAGATTTCATTTTCAGAGACACTAGATTTGAGTTTTATACATTCTGAAGACATGTGGAGCATTGTCCTCTACTGGATTTGGCTTTCATTCTTTGTTGCACTAATTCTTTCAACAATTGAAAGGGCCGAAACATTAAACTTTGTTCAAGCTGGAATACTTCTCCCTTCGGGTTTCTCATCCAGGATTTGATTTGCTGAGTATCATTCATTGATAAGATCTGAATGCAGTGCAGAGTCTCTGGTAACTCACCAGCTAAGTATGATAGATTGGTGTTTAGCATGGGAAATACTTTTGAACCTAGTTTTTATTGGTTGGTCTTATCAGTGAAAGTTACAAAGATCTATGCTAGGCATTTATTAAATAAGGATTAGACTGAAATAAAGCGAACAGGTTTATGAAGAAGGGAGTTCAGCACAATGAATTGCTTACTAAATCTCACTCATAAACATACTTCCTGACATGGTGAACAATGTGCTGTTCCTCTAGGACTTAAAATAGCATTGGACACAGTCTGTAGGGATTGGTTTGTTCAAAGTTCACTTGTTTTTGTTCCTAGACCTGGATGAAATCAGAGGGCAAGGTTGAAGTAGGCTCTTGGTAGCACTCTTTTCAGCAAAGGGGGATGAACTTTTTACTAACTTACTAACCTATTTTTTACTGTTAGGTTTTAGTTAATGACCTCCCTTTTTGTTTTTGAATTGTCACTAGTTATTTTGCTGCTTGACATTAGTGAATTGTTTCAGATACGACACTAAGCCATGATGGGAATCCATTAATTTTTGCCAAAAACATTGTTAAAGCCTGCATTTGAATATAAGAGAGAGAAATGGGGGGGGCTGCCATAAATTTTATTATTGAAATAATTTTTGTGCATTATGAAGTTCAGAGCTTAGAAAAGCACCCTTCAGGCCATAATGGTTGAAAGATAAGAGGCAAGCCTTTTCCGTTATATCCAAGACTTCTGTTTTTCCAGTTCTGGTTCTTGGCAATCTCATTGCTATCATGCTGTTCTTAAGGCCACACAAGCAGCACATGGGGCTGGTTTGTTGAAATAATCAAATCACATGGTGAGAACTGTTATGATCCTTGAACTATGTGCTTTGTAGAATTCAGGGCAGGTTCTATATTTTGAATCAGTTGGGATCTTCAGGTTCTGTTCTAGTTTGATGTAACTTGCTTTATGAATTAACTAAACTATAAATGTATAAAACAAGCCTTTTTAATAGAATTGCTAGATCACTTTTTTTTTATTTGTATCTTGGTGAGTGAGTGACAGGGGCTATCTCAAAAACAATACAGGGAAGTTTTGCAGCAAATATTTGAATTGCCAGTAGTGTGGAGGTCCAAGATAATGTCACTCCACTTTGTTTCCTTCTCTCAGCCTCTCTGATTCTGTTTTCTCTTATTGTTGAGGGAGAAGAGCCGCTGAGTGGGGAGGAGAGAGGGACAGAGAGCCTGCTTCTTTAAAGGAGCAAAGTGGGAGAGGAGAGGAGCCGCTTACACGGTTGGTTCCTTTAAAGCAAGCAGGCTCTCTGTCCTCTCTCCTCCCCACTCAGCTCGCTACATAGCAGCAAAGTTTTTCAGCTCGCTAAGCCAGGGATGAGCAGGGAGGAGGAAGAAAAGCAGAGCCTGCTTGCTTTAAAGGAGCAAAGTGGGAGAGGAGAAGAGCCTTCTCCCCTTATACCCCTCTTCTTCATTATTAGCAGCATCCTTCTCCACACACCCCATGCGTGCTCCTTGTCCCTTGAGTGCTTTTCCTTCTCTCCCCACTTAAAACGTGGTTACAAAGCACGGATCCACATGGATCCTCAGGATTTTTGCATTGGGCTACTCCAAACTCACTGTCAGATCACATGTCTGTGGCCACAGCATGAACCACAAAAATCATACATCCACTGTTTCATTTAGAATATGTTTTTTCTTGTTTTCCTCCTCTAAAAACTATGTGCGTGTTATGGTCGGGTGCATGTTATAGAGCGAAAAATACGGTATAGGGGCGGGGGAGGGAAATTCACTTTTTGCGCAGAGAAACCGGAATAAAAGAGCAAGCCTTTCTCCTAATGGGTTTGAATTTTAGCAAACAACATTCTTCCCTGGATTGCTTAGTTGTTTGTCTTTGTGGAATGTGTGGAGAAGTGAGCCTGCTGAATAAAATAAATAAAATAAAGTGGTATAACTATGTATGTCTTCTTACTCCTTTGCATTTAGCAAATCCAGTTTGCGGATGATATGCAAGAGTTCAGCAAATTTCCAACCAAGACTGGTCGCAGGTCTCTTTCTCGGTCCATTTCACAGTCTTCCACTGACAGCTACAGCTCTGGTAGGTGTTTTTCTTTTCCAGACCTTTTATTTCCTGTTTAGCTGATATTTTGAGCAATAACCCTGACCCCAGACTTAAAGGCAATTGCTAACTTTCTTTCTGACAACCTCATTCAAGATTTTCAAAAGTATTGCAAAATACTGGAATGCATGACAGTTGGCAGTGCTAGCCTTATAGTTAGGGATGCATCTCTTAGGAGAAACACCACTCTTTCTCAAAACTTTGGCACATTCAGCTATGAGCCATAGTGGCTGCCATCTTTTGTACCCTTTCATGGTCTCTTGGAAAGCAAAGCCCCTTTGTATACCTCTGGTTTTAGTGATTACAAGTCATCACCTTTTCCTGTTCAGTTGCACGTAAAGCTTGAAAGAGTCCTGTAGTATCCCTTGTAGCATCCCTTGTGCATGTATACAATACATACCTTTTAGTTCTGTCGTGTTCTATGGTAGTTGACATGGATTTAAGAAATTTAATTCCAATTATTTCAGTAGATCTACTTCAAATATGACTTCAATAAATATCACCCCATGTATTTATGCACTGCTCTACCTTTACTGTAAAGCATCCTTGTAAGGTGTTTTAAGGACTTGGTATGTTAGAAAGGAAGCCTATTTTTTAATAAAAAAAACTAAAAATCTGCCTGCCAATAATTTTCAAAGAATGTTGATATCCTGCAGTATTTGAAGCACACACGGTGCCACCTTATGCTAGTGTGTATAAGCCAAGAAGTGAAAAATTTGCAACAGGAAACCAGATTGACCAGGACACTTCCACTGTTTTAAGATGAATGATCAGAATGAAGTTAAAATAGCACAGATGGTAAAATGTCAGTCCTTAGTAAGAAATACGAATTGTCTTTATTTCTTTCGTGTATACTCCTTTCTTACCAAACACTTCTGTTTTGTTCTCTAGCGGCATCCTACACAGATAGCTCTGATGATGAAGTTTCCCCAAGAGAAAAACAGCAAACTAATTCGAAGGGCAGTAGCAATTTCTGCGTTAAGAATATCAAGCAGGCAGAGTTTGGCCGCCGAGAGATAGAGATTGCTGAGCAAGGTAAAGAGTGAGCTGCTGAAGCTTCCTTCTCCTTTGGGTACCACAAATTATATCCTGTTCGTCAGCAAACCCCCTTGGTAGTAGATTAGCTGTGTCAAAATGTCAGCAAGCAATGTAAACTTAAAACAAAAACAAAACCTCTCAGGATTGTTTCAACAGGTGTTGCTAATGATGCCACTTTCAACTGTCTATGTGCTCAGTCTTGTGAACAACAGCTGATGGTCTATACATGAACAGTCCTTTTTTACCACTTCTGTGTTAGGGACAAATTAAAAGGCCTTTGTATTCCTTATATTCCTTTCCATTTAGGTTGCAGCCTTGACAACTTCCAGCCTTTTCTGACTGCAGTGTTAGGTTGCCAGCATCCTTCACTGACATCCAATCTGACATTCAAGACAGTTGCCATTACTGATCTTTGCGTTTCTAGACATTCTCACATATATAAATGTCTTTGAGCTGACTTACTATGGGAACCCAAGAGGATGACCAGCCAGTGGATGGCAAAAGTTTCACTGAAAACTTCTCTTCTGCTTTTGTAGACATGTCTGCACTGATTTCACTTAGAAAACGAGCTCAGGGGGAGAAGCCTTTGGCTGGAGCTAAAATTGTGGGATGCACGCACATTACAGCACAGACTGCGGTGAGTGCTCTGCAATTTGCACACCAGCTGCCTTTCATTTTAACTGCTACCTATGCCACTCACCTTTGTCCCTTTCTGAATAAAGAGATGAGTGGAAAAGTGTCTCCGTTGTCTAAACAAGAGCATTTTTGTTGTTGTTGTTGTTGTTTCTCAACCATCCTGATGTGTCTGTACACAATAGTGTTCGGCAAAGACATTTGCTGTTATGGCAGTTCCAGGATTCAAGTTGTCAGCAGTATCCGCTGGGTTTGGCTGATGGCTGCAATGTCTTGCATGGACTTGGGTATGCCTGATTTGATTTGGGGTTGGGTCATAACTCTGGGCTGGTATTGGCCAAATCGAGCCAGCTATTTCTGCTGCGTTTTTGGTTGATTATGCTTGCATCGCCCCCAGGTCTTGATTGAGACGCTGTGTGCACTGGGAGCTCAGTGTCGTTGGTCTGCCTGCAACATTTATTCGACTCAGAATGAGGTAGCTGCTGCCTTGGCTGAAGCTGGTGAGTACACGGCAGTGGCACAGAGATTCGGTATCAGAATTAGAAATGCAAATTCTGTTTTTATTAGGGTAGCTCTTACTACTTCTGTCAGACTATTCAGTACAGATGAATACATGATGTACCGAGAATATTTGGCTGTGTTTGAAGCTCTGCTATCAGATTTGTACAGCTTGTCACTAACGATGCAAGCTTCTGAACAATTTATTTAAAACAAAATAAGACCGACTTTGTTTCAGGTAATTACATAAGAAAAGCCCTGCTTGATCACAGCGGCTGACCAAAGGCCTATAGCTAGCCCACATTCCAGGCAGCTGGCATTCAGAGGCACACTGCCACTGATGGTGGAGCAAGAACATAGTCATCATGGCTAGCAGCCATTGGTGGAAGCATTATTTTTGAAAGAAGGACCAAATTACTTAATAAGCAGAAATTTTGAAGCAAAATTCCTCAGCCATGGAATAAGTGCAATCTCATTTGAAAGAATTGTAGTTGGATGTAGTCTGTCTTTATGCACATGGTGGCCTTGTGGAAAGATTTTTGGTTCTGTTTGTAAAATCACAAGTTCATGCTTTATCTGTGGAGCCATCAGTTAGTCTGCTAGTAGACCTATACTGTATTTTATTAGATCTAAATGTATGGAATAGCCATGTTGTATCAGTTGCACTTGCTTCATGTTAGAAATTGACGCAAAGACTTACTGCAAATGAGTGGTTTAAGTACATAATTATGTGGAAATTAAACACAAAAACTGGTGCAGACAATAGAACGAAGACAAATTTACTGTTTTTTCAAAAAAGATTTCTATCATTTTTCTGTCACTGCTGAATTTTATAAGCTTGTATAACTCTAACCCGTATGTCAGTTTGTACAGACTTCAAGGGGGGAAATACTGTTGCCAACTTCACTGTCCTAATATTTCTGTAAATTCTCTGCATACCTGAGTTGTTGGGTATTTTGCAAGCCCTTGTCAGAGAGACATTCCATAGCCAGATGGACTCCGTTGACCCTGCTGGGAGAACCTAGATTATGCTAAGAGAGCTTGTTCGGCTTTGCTTTGCTTTATTATGTTCTGTATGCATCTCTTATCTAATGAAACTTCTATCACAATTCATTTCTTATGCTGAAAGTGCCACAGGACTTTGTCTTATACTGGCTCTGTTCCTGCATATTCTGCCAAGAATCCACTCTGATAGACAGTTTAGAACTAGCAAGCTAGCTGCAACTGCTATTACATGTATAGTTTCAAGAGATCCCAAAGCAGATTTTAGATTGTACAGAAAAATTGCTCTAATGTAGTCCTTTTAATACAATATAATTCTTAACTAGGATGTGCTTTAACTTAGTTACAATTCAGTGACCAGAGAAAGCCTCCAGAGATAAGTGTCTTGTTATTTATGTGCTGTATAAAGATAAAGTCTTTTCAGATAGCCTGGTCACTTAAATATGCTAAACAGATGACAAAAAAGGCAATCCAGAAGAAAACAGTGGGGCAGCTTTCAGCATGGGTTAGATAAAATGGGGTCGAGAGCTGCTTTGTGCCAGAACTGTGCTTATTTTAAGTCTGCTTCAAGCAGCACTGCTATAATAATGATCCAGCAAATTCATTTTCTTTCGCTAGGTGTTGCTGTATTTGCCTGGAAAGGAGAATCCGAGGATGACTTTTGGTGGTGCATTGATCGCTGTGTTAATGTGGATACCTGGCAGGCCAACATGGTAATGGAGCATTCTCCCAGGTTTCCCATATTCTCACACATTTGTTAACTTCTCCTTTGGAAGTGTATTTGGTGGCATCCAAAGAGGTACTTTAGGCACATCCAAGGGTTTTGACATGCCCATTGGAACTTCTGACTTCATCCCTTTCAGCTGTGTATTTTTCTGTTTCAAAAGAGGTTTTTCACATGGGTGTGGAGCTAATGTTTAGGAAAGACATTTTTTGGACATGCAGAACTAGTTCAGTGGTTCTTTGGATCTAGTCTACGGGATCACACTGTATTTAGTGTTCATTGTCCAGCCACATTCAACCCCTTTTCAAGTTTTATCCTCCATTCTCTCTTCTCCATTCAGTGGGGCTTAGCTGAAAGAATGGAAAGGTGTATTATGATTCAATACTAGTTAATTCCTGTCCATTTGCAGCTCAAATTGGGGGGTGGGGGTTAAGGTGAAATTCACCCTCCGAAAACAGGCAGCCAGTTTGGGTGATATGATGGGGATTGGAGCAAAATTACCAGCAGGGTCCTGGAGTGGGCTGCTGCTTCTTTATTATTTTGTTCTTCCCAGTTACAACAGCTCCTCTTTCAACCCTGCAGCCATTTTGTTTCCCCCAGAATGCCTTGGGCACACTGTGTGTGTTTGTGTGTGTGTTTTCTGCAGGGGGCAGGGGGGAGATTGGTGGCTCATGGCAGCTGCATTCTTGAGGGTGAATGGCTAGGAAAGGAACTCAGCTTTTTCTGTCACAAAAAACCTGTCCTGGGATCAGTATGGTGAAGGGTGGGTTTATAAGTATAATGAAATAAGTAAAGAAAAACCTGCTGCTCATGGTCAGCGCCCACCCTCCACAAGCATGGCGGTGAATTTCACATGTATCAAATCTGTAAAATGCCACTCCTAAATTTACCACCTTTAAATGGGGTATTTAATTTGTTGGTGCAAATTTGCAAGTCTCAATAATTGTCACATTCATACTCTGTTTAAAGCACATCTCTTTCCTCAAAACAATCCTGGAAAACGTTGTTTACTCACTACAAAGCTACAATTCCCAATACCCTTAAAATAAAGTTCCCAGTCTTCTTTGGGGGGAAGACCTGTGCTTTAAATGTATACTGTGAATGTGCCTGGTGAACCAGGGGACTGAAGCACACTTGTTGGTTTTGAGCGAGTCACTCTATTTCAGTCTGACTTATCTCTGAGGGTTGTTGTGAAGATCAGAGATAAACAGAGCTATGTTGGAAGAAGGGCAGAATTTCACTGGCAAGGCAGTCGTGATAATAGACAAATATATATAGAAAATGAGATTTTCTGAAAGGAGGATGCTGCCTAATGTTCCCTAGCTCTCAGTTATCACACTTCTTGCACAAAGTTGAATCATTAAAAAAGAAAAGAAAATGGCTCCTCCCCCCCCCTTATGTAGATTCTGTTAATTGCCATATAGCTAAATGACTGATCAGAGTCACTAGAAACCAACTGAATGTTTACACACGATAGAATCATTCACATTAAAAAAAACAACTAGGGATTGCTCACTTCATAGTATAATAAATGGTGGCTCATCTGTCTTAGATTATCTATTTTTAAGAGAATGTGAGAATTACCTCTCATATGTGCTTTGCATCTACTTCCCATGAAATTAATTGCATGACTTGTGTCCATTGCTGCCATTATGCTTGCCCAACATATATTTTCTTATGCAACACAGCGTCTTGTCCTCTCCCCTGCAGTCCCCTGAGCACCCTCAAAATCTGTTCCAGAGTGTTGGGGGACCCTCCAGAGCAGATTTGGGGTGCATGCAAGAAGAGGAAAGGGGAGTGCTACTGCATGAGCAGAATTCCACATGTGCAGCATTGGATACAACTCTGTGTGTCTTTTAGAGTACTATCAGCAGGACCCCATACCCTTTGACTTGGTGTGCTAGATAAACAAGATAAGCATAAATCTGTACTGAAACAATGCCATTTCATTTTTAAGGGGAAATTCTGCTGTGGTTTTCCCTTCCTAATAAAGTACAGTGGTGCCCCGCAAGACGAATGCCTCGCAAGACGGAAAACCCGCTAGACAAAAGGGTTTTCCGTTTTTCAATGCGCTTCGCAGGACGAATTTCCCTATGGGCTTGCTTCGCAAGACGAAAATGTCTTGCGAGTCTTGAGATTTTTTTTCGCTTCCCCCCCCCTTTTCCTAAGCCGCTAAGCCTTTAATAGCCTTTAAACCGCTAATAGCACTAATCCGCTAAGCCGCTAATAGGGTTGCTTCGCAAGACGAAAAAACCGCTAGATGAAGATACCCGCGAAACGGATTAATTTCATCTTGCGAGGCACCACTGGATTAGTATACGCAATGACTTCTTTGTTTCATGTATCTACACTAGCTCAGGAAAAAGCTTTTTGTTAATAAACTTTGTTGTTACTGTATAGCAAACCCCTTAGCTATTGATTGTTGTTCCAGGTTTGGTTTGGTTTTTAAGATAATCGGCTATAGATGAGCATCCCCTATTTCTTTTTCTGTCAGGTCAATTATGAAAAGGGTAGATTATCCTTACTCTGTACAGCTTGAACCAGTTTTCCAGCTTCCACCTGAATTTGTGTGATAAAATCTAGTACTGGTTCTCTGGAAGTATACCTTGTAGAATTCGTATATTTCTATTTATATGTTAGAAAACCAGGCCAGGTTTCTTGCTTGGACAACATCGTGCACGATAATAATGGTTTGTGAAGCGATATCAGAGTTCTGATCCCTTAATGGTTATGTGACTTAACAGTTTAATTGCCTAGAAGTAATCCTGCTTTGTGCCTTAAAGTGAAGTTACATGTGGCATGCAGTATAAATAGCAGAATATCTTTGAGCTAATTATATTTATCTTATTTTCAGATCTTGGATGATGGGGGAGACCTGACCCATTGGGTTTATAAGAAATATCCAAATGTATTTAAGAAGATCAGAGGCATTGTAGAAGAGAGTGTGACAGGTGTGCACAGGTAATCAGCCCCAAAGGATCCTGCAAACCTTTGTCTGTCCTCCTTCAATATGAAGCTTTGGGAAGTTGTAGGGCCTTGCCCATATCTGGTAAGCAAGCATCTAAAAATTAAAGCTCACTTTTAATCATGATGACCCTGTGGGATGGTAATAAGGATGGGGGAGGAATAAATAACGCCATAAAAGAGAAAGGTATGGCTGAGGTAAGGCAGAACCTAGGGCCTTTTCTACCATTTTAGTTCCCACACTGTTGAGCCATGGGGCTTCTCAAGTTTAAGCTCAAAAATTGACATGTTCTTCGTGCAACATTCCTCTGGTTCCCCTTTGCCACATCTTATTTTTATAAAGAAGGAGGAATGCATTTTAATGTCCCACTGACCATTCTCTTTGGCCTGACTATTCTTCCCTATACTTTGGCTACTCATAGAAACTGCATGAGCTGCTGCTTGTTCTTTTTTCTCCTTTCCTCCTTCCCCCATGGGTATTTCAGTGCCCAGTACTTGGTACAGATGCATTCAGTGCTAAGTTACCAGTGGTCATGATTTTCAGTATGGTTTAAAAGAAACTGGCTTTTGAGTCAGACGATTGCTCCATCCAGTTCCATATTCTCTACACTGAGTTACAGTGGTTCTTCGTGGTTTCTGGTAGGAGTATTTTCCCAGTCCTACCAGCAAATGCCAGGGATTGAACTTGGGACTTTTTATTTATTAGATCATTTACTGTTTTGTATTTTTTACCACTGAACTATATTTCACAGTTGAGTATAATACGGGGGAGGAACATGTATTTCTCTCTCTCCAGAAATCAAGAGGCGTAGTCCATTAATCACTTTGGCTTACTCACTGATGTGAAGCATTTTATTTTTATTTTGCTAATTACACATATGATGGCTGTAGGAAGATACTAAGGGTGCTATGTACATCAGGCCTAAATACAGCTAAATTCACCTATTCTTTTTTTAAAAAAATAATAGGAACTATATATTTACTGGAAGCAGAAGATGTTTGGGGGACTCAAGTGTATATTATAAGAACTGGTACTTCTGCTGTTACTTGAAGACAAGATGCAGAGCTGATTAATATGTGGTCCTCAGGCTGTTATTGAACTCTTAACACCTGTCAGCCTTGCCGGAATAGCCAGTGGTCAGAGATGATTGGGATTGTCATCTAGCAACATCTGGAAGGCTGCAGATTAACCACAAATATGGAGCTTGGGTGTTAGCCCAGGGAACAAATTAATGTTCAGCTGATTATCCTGTTTTTTCTCACAGTATTCAGTTCTGAAATCTTCTCTTTCTCTCTTTTAGGTTATACCAGTTATCAAAGGCTGGGAAACTTTGTGTTCCAGCTATGAATGTAAATGACTCTGTCACCAAACAGAAATTTGATAACTTATATTGTTGCAGAGAATCCATCTTGGATGGGTGAGTCTGGCACTCAGCTTTGGGAGTTGGGAGTTAAAACCCTCAGAATCAGCCCCCAGCTTCCATATTTTTCCTATTCAGCTCCTTGTGTTGTGGAGTTGAATACTGCTGTAATCGGGTCATACTACTGTGGAATTAAGAAACATTGGCCACATTAGGGCATCTCAGTGAACTTTGGCAAGTCTTCAGCTCGCATTCTCCACCCTCTCCTCCTCCTTTATGACTGGGAAGAGGACTTCAGAAGCATTTGCTTTTGGTTTCAGCTAATTGCAGCTTCCCGTTTAACCCAAAGATCTAGTTTACACTCAGGATAGTTGGTTTACACAAGCCTGTTTCATGAACTAGTGCCAGTGTGGTGTAGTGGTTAAGAGCGGTAGTCTCGTAATCTGGGGAACCGGGTTTGCGTCTTCGCTCCTCCACATGCAGCTGCTGGGTGACCTTGGGCCAGTCACACTTCTTTGAAGTCTCTCAGCCCCACTCACCTCACAGAGTGTTTGTTGTGGGGGAGGAAGGGAAAGGAGAATGTTAGCCGCTTTGAGACTCCTGAAGGGGAGTGAAAGGCGGGATATCAAATCCAAACTCTTCTTCTTCTTCTTCTTCTTCTTGCCAGCCATAGTTCCATAAACCACAGTTCCCAGTTCAGATGAAACAGGAAGGCTCAGTTAGTTAAAATCAAAAGTATGTAAATGCTTCTGAAGTCCTCTGGCCCATGCAGGACAAGGAGAGGCAAGCTCCAGATTTCCCATGGCTTGTGCACGTTACAGTTTATCGAGACAGCTAAGCAAAGCCATTGTATTGAGTCAAGCATGTATTTTGCATGTGGTTAACTTCTCAAAAAGAGTCTCTTTCTCTCCCACAGCCTAAAGCGGACAACGGATGTGATGTTTGGAGGAAAGCAAGTGGTGGTGTGTGGCTATGGTGAGGTGAGTTGTAGCCTGGCTGATTCAGCAGCTCTCATTAGTGTACAGTACAGTACAGTACAGTACAGTACAGTTACCTTAGCTTTAGGATTCATTACCTTCTGTATTCATGATCTACCTTTTACTAGTAATGACTCCTTATGTGATTACTATAAGGAGCATTAGGAACAACTTGTGTTGCAGCAGAAGATTATGCGTCCAATTGTAATGGCTCTCACGGTAATTGCAAGCTGATGATACTAGCAAGTGTTTTCACATCATTAGAAGAGTCTCTACTCTCAGCTGTATTTGTAACAGTAAAATCTGGAAAGAATTTAAGAGGTGATTAGGGCACACATTATGGTTCAAGTGTGCTGAAATTTGCGCAGGTAACAGTGCTTCAACATGGGTGCTTCCAGCAATGTATGAATAGCACAAATTGAATTATGTACATTTTAGGGCTAAACTACATGCGCTGCGGCAGCTTTGTTTGCTAACCTGATTGGAGCTACTCTAGTCAAGTTAATAGGCCTATGGGGATGGAGGGAGGTCTGGTTTTAATGGCAAAATGAGTTCTCTAGTGTGGAGTGGAGAATCTTTGCACAGCTCCTATATTTGCAGCTGAACCTCAGTATTGAAGTTACCTTGTCTGGAAGAAAAGCACTTAGGGGGCAGGATTGTGTAAAGGGATATTAGGGAGAGTTCTGAACTCCTCTTTTTCTTATTAGTGCTTATCTGATTCTTTCCCAACTTTTCATATAGAGAGACAGGAGCAATGGAGCTATTATCCAAATTAAAAAAAATAATATTAGGCTATAATTTGTTTTCTAGTGTTCATATGTGGACAAACTAAACCAATACAGATGGCTGTCTTAACACATGGCAGTTTCCTACCATGTGTTTCACTGCATTACTAGAGAAACATAGTATACATTTTTATACCATGCATTCTTAATGTAGTAAAGGTTGCCCCTCTCCTGTGGCAAAAGTTTTCACATAGTAGAATGTAGTAAACCATGGCCGCTGCTGTCTGTGAGCAAAACAAACAAACGGCATTTATCTGAGTGATGAGAGTTGAATGGTGACATTTTGTTAAAATGAATATTTTAGCTTCCTGTTTTCTTCTTTCATTTTGTTCAAATCTCATAATTCAGAGGATTTATATACTTCAAGTATTTGCTGTTCTGGTATGGTTGGGAGGAATTTTTTTAAAACTGAGAAATAGTGCTATGATGCCTCTGAAGTTAAGAGACTGTGTCTGTATGCCATTAAAATTGACTATAAAGGAGGAAATGCTATATTTTACCTTGTGAAGAGAAAAAGACAGCATTTCCATTCCTGCCTATTTGGCTCTGAGATAGGAGAGGGGAGAAATGCTGCCTTTTCATTCTGCATCTCTAAAAAGAAGACAGATAGCTTTTATCTCCCAATCTGAGCACTATGATTTCTGCCTGCGATTCTAAAGAGCAGGCAGCAGAGATTTTGTTTCCTGATCTCAGAGCTGATTGCCACAGTTCTGAGATCAGGAGATAAAGGGCTATGTCTGCCCTTGGAGATTACTCTCCAAAGAGCAGGCAGAACGCTGTATTTATTTGTTGGCTTGTTTATTTATTCCTCTAAGCATTTAAATAAGAAAAAAACCAATATGGTAATATTGCATGAAAGCTAGACAGACAGGATAAAAAGAAAAGTATATATATCACACATAAAACTGAGCATTATACAAAACATGGATTTAAAAATTTAGTAAGGCTCAGGGACCACAAAAGCTTGGGTAAACTTAAGTTTTATTCTCAGTGCTAAGCTATAGCTTAAAGCTACAGCTGCAGGAGCTGGTGGGCCACTTCCCACAGCTTGCCAGGCTGAATCTGGGCTGTGGGTTAGCCAACCCTGCCATAGCAGCAGTGGGGGAAGCAACTAAGGGTGGAGGAAGAGCAAACCTAAAACCAAAATACTACAAAGCTAGTCACTGGTGACTGTATTAGTATAGTTGAGTATATACAGAAGTCAGCAAACTTTCCAGCATTTCCCATGTGATAAACTGGTCTGAATTCACCCTGTGCATCAGTGAATCAACTGATTATATATATTTTCATTTTTGCATACAGTGGTACCTCGGGTTACATACGCTTCATGTTACATACACTTCAGGTTACAGACTCGGGCTAACCCAGAAATAGTACCTCGGGTTAGGAACTTTGCTTCAGGATGAGAACAGAAATCGTGCTCCGGCGGCGCGGCGGCAGCAGGAGGCCCCATTAGCTAAAGTGGTGCTTCAGGTTAAGAACAGTTTCAGGTTAAGAACGAACCTCTGGAACAAATTAAGTACGTAACCAGAGGTACCACTGTACCACACTTCATGGTCCTTTGGCTGCATTGCTTACATTTTCTCTCTCTTTACACATGTGCGTGCTTGTGTAGAAGTGGGGGGGAAAGAAGACAGAGATGGGCTGTTTTTAAAACACTTGTATTTGCTTAGATTTTGTAGTTGTTTTTGTGTATTCCAGGTTGGAAAGGGATGCTGTGCAGCTCTGAAGGCCCTGGGAGCCATAGTTTGCATCACAGAGATTGATCCTATCTGTGCTCTTCAAGCCTGGTGAGAAATGAGGTGTTACAAATGCTGCTGTCTGAGAGAACAAGCCTTTTCTTGTATTGCTTGCTGTTCTTTTTTGGGCTACTTCAAAAGGTTAAAATTAATTAGCCTACTAAAGAAGAGCCCCTCTCTACCCAAAACTTCACAATCTGAGGCTATACGTGCAAGAAGACATAAAGCTTCAGGGAATCTTCCATTTCCTTCCATTTCATTTGAGTGTTCCACAAGTGATTGTGACCTTGTACCTCCATATGTAAGAGTCCTTTTCCCTCATAAGTTTGACACTGTTCTGTTGATAATGGCTAATGAATAGTTTGCCGAAATGCATTTGTCAATAAGAAGAATATTGGGGTGGGGGAAGGAGGAAATAAACATGTGAATATCCTCTTAAAGAAGTAGTAGATGCTAAATACTAGGATAGTCATCGAGAGCTCCAGCAGCACTAATCTGATGTAAGATGGAATAATTGTGAAACTCCAGTAAGATTAATAGAAGCAGTAAAATTTAACTGGATATGCCATTTGACTACTTTGCAGGGTTTTTTCTAAAAAGTAGGATAGAACGTCTACTTTAAATTTTGAACTCATAAAGATTAATAGCATGCTGCTTTTAATAGATCTTGCAGAACTTTCTTTTTTACCTCTGAACACTCTGATCTTTCTCCAGAAAGCCCATTTCTCTTCAGACTGCCCCACACAACTTGTCCTTTTTCAGAACTGCTACGGATATCGGGAAATGTCGAAGTTATTTCTCTAGTCCCTGCCTACTGAGCATAGGAAGAGCTTCGGTGTCCAATAAGTCAGTCTTCTGTAACTTACCCTACGATCAGCTGCTCTCGACTAGTAAAATGGCATATCCTGTTTCTCTTTATTTCTTCTGTTGCTACTGTTGTTTCAGGCAGTGTCAGTTATTTCAATAATACATGTCAAAAGGATTAATTTATTAGCAGTGGGTAAAAAGAAGGGTGAGGTATAAGTGAAACATGTATATGAAATGTTTGAAAGTATGAACCTTAAATAAATTGTGTGTTTCTCCCTCTGTTTCTTCCAAATATAGACAAGGAGATAATGATCTCCATTTTAACTGTGTCTTGCTTTTAAAGAAGCAGAGGTTCAACTGTTGTAAAATGGGTATCTAGCAAGTTTTATTATTAACAATATAACTTGTAGTTCAATAAAATGAAAACGCACATTAATGACCCCTTTCTTCAAAATCATCACACCTAATAGCTGTTCAAAGCTCAGCTGAAAAAAACCCTTCTGAAAAATGTATTGGTGAAAACTGCAATTATTGTTATTCATGAAAATAAACTATTGCAGCAGTTTTAGTCAAACAGCTACATAGGAATGCATGTACATAACTACAGTGTGACATTGTCAGTGGATTCTCTTAAGCATCAATCAAATGTTGGGGAACAGAGTTTGAGGTTTAAAACTTAAATAGCCAGAGCACCTTGTTCAGTTTCATGTTGCCATGTTTGATGTCCCTTTAATCTCTTACCTTCTCTTTGGCAGCATGGATGGGTTTCGGGTAGTGAAACTCAATGAAATCATTCGCCAGGTGGATGTTGTCATAACTTGCACAGGTAAACCAATCTGGGAAGGACTGTGCACGTGTTTTGTTCATATTATTCCCACCCACTCCACACGCTGAAATCCTTCCGATTTTGTCTTTTTGCTCAGTAATATGTAGTAGTATTTCCCCACTCAAACTGGAAACCTGCAAAGGATATAAAGAGGACATAAGTTGTATCGCTTTCTATTGTAGGTTGTATCCAAATAAGTAATTACACAAGTGGAATGAGTTCCGCTCATGTAACCCCCTGCACCTTTACCATAGCTGCTCTGAGTTCCTCCCCATGAACCCTCTGGAGCAGATTTGGAGGAAGGCAACATTTGCATGGGGGAGAAGAGGGAGGGAAAATTACACTGTGCAAGTAACTCATGCAATTACTTGGTGGGACTCAACTCACTGTATTGGGATTAAAGTTGTAGCTATAGATAAGGGGAAATTTGATGGCTCACCTGTCTGAAGCTTGCTTTAGCTGCCTCTTTTTACTGCAGGAAACAAAAATGTGGTGACTAGAGAACACTTGGACCGAATGAAGAATAGCTGCATTGTATGTAACATGGGCCATTCCAACACTGAAATTGATGTGGTGAGTGTCTGTTAATCTTAGTTATGCTTTCAGTCATCTTAATAAATCCTAGTAGTTGATCCCTGCCTCAATCTCTCCTAGGCTAGTCTTCGTACCCCAGAGCTAACCTGGGAGCGTGTACGTTCTCAAGTCGATCATATTATCTGGCCTGATGGCAAGCGAGTTGTTCTCCTAGCTGAGGTATGTTGGCAAAGGCCTAAACAGAAGCCTTTATAGGGTTCATCATAAGGAATTGTGTCTCTTATTTTCAGGTTCCCAGGGTATTGGAAGGCTAATCAAATGGGCAGCTAGCTATGTATCAAGGAGAAGCTGTTCTGCTGAGAAGAGAAGATGATGCAGGTGTCCTTTGGGCAGTTCAGAGTTGTTGTCTGACTTGAGCTTTATAGCAGAGTTCCAAAGCTAGCCAGACCAGTGGGAATATGAAGATCTCAAAAGTTTTTGCTAAACAGATTTTATCCTCCTCACTGCTAAATCATGCCTGTCCTTTTCAGTTCATCATAGATCTTAACTTTTGACCAGGAAAGGAACCATTAACTATCTAAAAACATCAGTGGTTATTAGTCCTGGTCTGGCCACATTGCTCCTGGTTCAAACTATGCAGTTATATCCCAAGTTTGCTGGGCCTGAAGAGTTTAGCATTGCACTTGAATCTGAAATATTGCATTTCTGTTTGATGGTGTTCTCTGAGCACAAGAGGTGATTTCTCAAAAAGTTTTGTTGTTGTTGTTTCCCTGTCATTCTAGGGAAGACTTCTGAATCTGAGCTGTTCAACAGTTCCAACCTTTGTTCTGTCCATTACTGCTACCACTCAGGTACATGATTTAGCCTGAAGGTTCCCCTGCCTTGCTTGATGCTGTATTTATAATTTGTTTGTGGGGATGGAAAATATAAGATACCATATTTATATTAGTTTTCCAACTCAAGTCTGAGTAAAAGCCTAGTTAGAGGATTTATTTGAACTGCATTTTGCCTGTTAGTTCTGATCTTTAAATAGAGGCATAGTATGAAAAATATTGTCAGCTAGAGTTCTAAAGAATATTATGTGCTCAGGTAATGCAGAGCATATGAACTTGCATATTTATTTGAAGTATTCATCACAGATGAAATTAAATAAAATGTGGATTTTGAAGCAAAGGCTCAACTAGAAGGGAATGACATGGAGAACTGAGCCAAATGATCAATCAAGCTAAAGAGGGAGCAAACGGGTCACCATGGGAGGAAGTTGTGTCGATTGCTGAAGCCCCACCCCTTTACAACTTGAAGCCCTGCCTAGATCTCCCATTCGTTTCTGAACTTTTCCTGTCTTATGGCCTACATGTGTTTCAGGTTTCCCCCCACAATGAAAGATCAAGGTTCGCAAGATCACCAAATCCAGTGTCCTTTCATAGTGAACCTATAAATGAATGAAATACTTACAATTGCTGCTTCTCACTTATTATTATGCCTTCTTCAGTTTTAAAAAAGCAGCATAACTGTCCACTGTTTTGGTATCTGTTTATGACTTTGAAAACAGAGTTTGCAGTCTGGAGAGGTTAAAAACTAAGGAAACAGAGCAGATGAATTGTTTGTTCAGCTGAATAGTGTTACACACATACAGGGGAGATTGGCCTTTCCCCTCAGCAAAATGCCTCTATGTACCTTAGTTTGTTTAGGCACTAGGGTGAGTCTTAATAACATTTTAGCATGTTTACATTCCCTATTTTTTTTCCTACTGGCTCAGCAAAGATGCAACACATAGATTTCCTTTTCACTAACTCGGTGTATTCTGTACCAACAAACTCCTCGCTGCAGTTTAAAAAAAGAAGCTAGATCCACAGAACTGTTGTGTCATTTATCCCAAAAGCTTGGACAACCACCTCTAAGCTCAATGTCTAAAGTATCGGTGCTGAACATAGACTAATAGGTTAGCCACCAGGCGTGTCAAAACTACAATGATAACTTTTCAGAGTGTGCTGGAAAGAATTGATAAAGCCTGCAGTTGTTACTTCCAGCATCTCTCTGATCTTCACAGGCTCTGGCTTTGATTGAGCTTTACAATGCTCCTGAGGGACGATACAAACAAGATGTGTACCTTCTGCCTAAAAAGATGGGTGAGCAAACAATGGTAGAATTTTTAGCTGCTGCTTGTTGATCAGTGAGCGGTAGCCTCCTCTCTTGGAACACCAGGCTAGCACAGCATGTACAACTGTAATAAACATAGTTTCTTCACCACATGTTTGTGCTGGGCCCAGCCATGCTTTGAGAATAGGAAGGAATTTTTAAGAACTTTAGTATATCGAGAATTTTAGTATATACAGGCCGTATGGGCAATGCCCATCCATTTCATGTCAGGCTTCAGAGTTGAAATTTAGATGTTTTTAGATAACTTCCCTCTTTGTCTGAAATAGCTATATTTTTATTAGTCTGTTTGCTGTGATTGTAATCCTGGGTATATAAGCTAGGGATGTCCCATTTTGGGGATAATACTATCAAAAGATGGGAAAATAAACCTTTGAAATAAAATTAAAAATGCCTGGGGTCTGCCAGTACCAAAATACAAAATCCACTAAAAGGACTACATTGAATTTTAACATTCTTCTACATCGTATGGTATATACTTTTCAGGGGACATATATTGGTTATTTCTTTCTACATGTACATTGATTGAATGTCTTGAATATGAAAAATACAAGGCAGAAGCATCTACTGTACCCTCTGGCAAGAATTGCTAAATGAAAAACACCTGTTAAAGATTGAGTTTAGAATGAGAGATTCCAAGGTCATTTCACCTCTTAGGTTATAACTTGTCTCATGATTGAATTCAGGGTAAAAATGTTAAAAGCCAAAGTTCCAGACTGAATGCTGTGGGGCAACACACAGCCAAAAATATACCCTGCCTATTGACTGTCTCTGCCTCAGTATTCATGTAATCGCTGATATTTGTCTATAGTGTGAAATAATTATAGATGAGCTTTGCTAGACCTGCATGTGGCCTTCCTTATTGAGCCTAGCATTGGTGGGGAAAGCTTTCAGGAGTAACTGGTTAAAGATGTCTAGGCGCTATAAACAGGACCTTAGAGATTCTAACACGTCTTCCTGTATTCTTTCTAGATGAGTATGTTGCCAGCTTGCACCTGCCTTCATTTGATGCCCATCTGACAGAGCTAACAGATGATCAAGCGAAGTATCTGGGGCTTAATAAAAATGGACCCTTCAAACCAAACTATTATAGGTAACCTTCTCCATTAGGGGAAACTAGAAAACATATAGGGACTTGCCTATAATTCAGATACGACAACATGAATTGTAATTTTTTGAATAGTTTTGTTAGTGTGATGAGCAGGGTAGTTGTGAGGCTTCTCTGAACATCCTGAAAGGAAGATTGGGGTTCAGATAATAGTAATAAATACAGGCAAAATAGAAAACCCTTCTAGCTTAATTGTCTTGAATGGAAATACAAACATCTAGTGCCAGCTAATGATGGATTTATACACCAGGCAAGGGAAGACTAGAATTGGACTGGCAGTTCTGATAACCTAAGGCAGGAGTGCCTCCACTTGATCCTGTGTCTTGGTGGGCACCCAGTGCTTGACTCTGGCTTTCTTTCTCCTTTACTGCAGGTACTGATGGACCATAATGCTGAAGGACCAGACTACATAATCTACACAAGAGCTTTAGCAAGAATATTTTTAAAGAACATATTTTTTGTGTTACTTCTAAAAACTTTTTTATTTTTTATTTTATTCATGTGATTTTACTGCCCTCTCTTATTCTCTTTAATATTCCTCAGTCTTTGTGTCTGACTTTACAGACAACCTGGGATTTCCCTGCTGCATCACCACTAAAATAGTACAGTTTCAGCTCCTCAGCTCTATTACTAAGGAAAGGATTTCCCTGGGTAATGAAGGGCATTCCTGTCCTCTGCTCATTTTATTTTTTAATTTAAAACTTTCTGGAGCACCTTAGTTGTAGTTGGTAGAACTGCAAAATATTAAGAGTACTATTTTTTCTGTGTGGAATTATCTACAAATTCTAAATTGCCTTAACGAGCCCCAATTTATTAGCTGCTAGATCAGTGCTCCTTTTCCTGTACTGGAACAGAGTTATATCTTGTGGCCAGTTAGGTGTATATTCAACAAATGCCTAATATTGTGTTGTGAAGAAAACAGTGGGACAATTTCAAATACTATTTATTTTTCGTTAGGCTATTTTTCCTACATGAAATATGTAGCTGCATGCCTGGTTACACCAATCCTAGGTAGACTTTAACATTCTTTTTAAGTTGCTAGGGTGCTAATCTGAATTGAAATGGCTATTGACTATCCACTGTCTTCACTTTTCCATAGCTTTTATATGTTATGTTTTTTCTTTCTTTAAGTGAAGATGTACCAGAACCATATTTTAAAAGGCAATGGGTGAGAATTCCTTTTCCTTCGAGTTTGGACATTTTTAAGGTAGAATCATAGAATTCTATGAAGATATCAGTAATACATTGCAGAATTGGTAGGGGCCACTAAGAACCAAATCAGTCCTTCTGAGCTGAGATGGGTATCTCCTGTGCTCCATCCTTTCATTTGTCCAGCACCGGGGATATTTGGATGATGTAGTAGCTTAGCTTTTCATATCTTACAAAGCCAGTGTGGGGGACCTTTGGCCCTCCAGATGTTGCTGTACTACAACTCCTATTCAGCCCCAGCAAGCGATGATGTGAGTTGTAGTTCAGCAAACAATTGGAGGGCCAAATGTCATCCCTCCACTGCCGCCCACACCTGCTATAAAGAATTATTCATTGTGTAAAGCACCTTCCCTCCATCTTCAGGCTCCATTTGTAGCAAATGAATATTGAAGGTGGAATCCCTTCCCATTGGCACTGCTGTTTTAAGTGCTCTGCTGCTTTAATTACCTTGGCTTAGGCTAGCCTATTCTGTCTGGTTATCTTGATGCACTGGTACCTCTCCTGCGAAACTACGGTGCAGCCAGATTTCACATTTTAGTGCCATGAAAGAGGAGGGAGCTCATCTTTAGAGAGGCAAACATCAGGCTAAGGAAGGTGGTTCAGGCAAATGGTGCCTGCATCTGATCACTTCAGACTTGTGCTGAAGTCTCGAGGGGCAGTGATGAAAAGCTAGAGACTACTGTGAATCATAGTGAATATATGATCAACCTTGAATTTCTGTGGCTTTTTATGTAACCTTTGCAGAAAACTTGATGTAAATACAGATTACATTCCTAGTTCCATCTTCTTGAAATCTATTCCACTATTGTATGGCATTGGCTGTGGTCCTTCCTGATATCCTTCACTGAGGAGAATAATTTAACTGTGATTTGATGAGGAGTCTGAGCCACCAAACCTTTGCACGTTCATGCTTGCTCTCTCTTTCTCAGAGCCCTAGGTGACCTTTCTCTTGTACCTTTGGCCCCAGATAGCTGTCTGGTTCCTTTCTGGCAGCTACACGGTGGCCACTTGGCCTTGCAGAATGGTTGCAGGCCACTGACTGACTTGAATGTGGGAGATCCGTTTGCCTCCAGCTCCTCCTGCCCACCCCCTTTTCCAGAATCTGACTTACATTTGGCCAGGCCAAATGAACTCTGTTCTTCCTTTTTGTTGAAGTGATCTCAGACCTGAGCATATGTGCTTCCTCTCAGTTCCTTCATCAGGATGGCGTCTTAGTATTTTGTTTCTCAATTTCACAGCTCTAATACTACAAGTTCTGATCCCGGAATTGGCTTGGATCCTTCTAAGCCAAACAGAGTGCGCTCCCAAATGTCCTCCATGAAGCTCAGGGAGGGCCTCTTCATTCCATTTGTCTGCCTCTGTGTTGCAGTGTCAATAGATACCTTAGCTAAGGGCTTCATCTCTGTATAAGCCATGGAATAAATTATCATGCCTGGCAACACCTCAGTTCAGTCAGAGGGAGCATGTTATAGCATCAACCCAGGTGGGGATAGGTTTATTTTGTATATGAATGATTTTTAATGAATGCAATATTATTCCTTGCAGATGAGCAATAAATCATTACGCAAAATCTAAATAAAATGATTAGAAAAATACCTCTGGCTTGAGTTTTTAAATAATCTTCTAAATAATCACTGCCACCACAGTTTGCGCTGTCCAAGGTAACAAGTTGCCAGCACACTTTCAATTGCAAGATTCCAGTTTTATTCCATCCACAAAGCAAATCATTTATCTCATAGGATGTCTATGAGTTGAGAAGATATACAAATCCCTGATGTCAGAGCTCAAGGAAGAGCTTGGTATCTCTGCTTCTCTTCCTCCCCGAAGTAGACTTACAGCAGGAATGGAGAAACCCTACTCTGTGAGTCAGATGTGGCCTGTAGTTGGCCCTTCAGGGGGTGCTCAGTGGGAAGCAGCTGAGGGGGGGGGGGGGAAATGCCATGGTTTTTTAAAACATAACAAAACATACAAAAAATGTACACTATGCAAATATGGGTAAGTCCTAATAAAATGTTATCAATCTTTATGAGAAAACAAAATTCTGTATAAATTAACTAGGGCAAATGCTTTCGTTGGGTGAAATGCACACTTTCAAAATGTTCCTCTGAAGTAAGATCTGTTGGAAGAAGATCAAAGTAATTTTTTAAAATGTTTCAGCAGAAAGGTAGATTACTGTTCCTTGCAAAGATGCAAAAAAAATGTCCAGGCAATCTGCAGTTGCACGCATGCAATTTTCAGGATGCAGATGCATTTTGAAATTTTAGGTTTCAAATAGCTGTAAGACACAGCTTTGCAGTTCCTCTGTACTTTAACATTGCTTGCATTTCTCTGATGGAATTACTGATTACTCTTTGCCTTTTGCACAATTAGCATAGAGACAACAGTGATTAGGAGCTTTACTCTTTTAAAACTTTTTTTTAAAGCTTATGGAGAAAATGGAAAGAAAATGGAAATTTGAGTGGAGTTGCTAAGAAAAAAGCCCCTTGTTTTCATAGGAAATACCATTTTGTATGTCTCTGTATATGTTAAGAGTGTGTGATTGGTGTGTTGATATGGCCCCAGCCCTACTTTTCAGGAAGGGAATAACTGCCATTAAGTTAGCATTAGAAACTCTGTTGAAAGAGAATCCTATATCCAAGCTTCCAGAAGCAAACACACTTCTATGGCTGTCTAGCCACACTGGATGCAAAACAAACCTAAGCTTGTTCTCATTGCTAATAAAATAGTGATGGTGTTGGGCTTTCCATGCAAGCTTTAGTTGTTGAGTTCACATTAACATAACCTACACTGAACTATTTGGGTTTTTTAAATAAATGGTACGTAACATTATTTCTATCCCTGTAAGTCCACAGTCCGTAAAAGAGTGTATGGATATACCAGACATCTTGATCTTGCTTGCTGTAGTCCAAGAAACTCTTCTCATTGTGGTGGGCAGAGGCAGTTCATATTGTTCTCTCATTTACTTCTTTCTTGTGAACACATTTCACACCTTAAATGCTTTCTATTTGTTAAATTGTTGTGACTGAATATGGCCGAAAACATTCTGCAATTATCTACAATCCTTTTCCTCAATGGGCCATCCCTGATTCCATTGGACCCCCTCAATCTCAGATGTTCCTATTGCTACCACACCTTTCTGTTCTGCTTCTATATGGCTACTAATACTTTAGTAGCCTGGTCATGTGCATACTGGTTGGTGGTCCCCAGTATTCTCAAGTAGCAGGCAAGTGAAAGGCCATCCCACCAGCATTTCAGTGCTACATCACAGATATGCCAGTGATGCTATCACAAGTGTATATTTCAAGCATTTGTGGCTTTTGCCAATGTTTTTGATAAGGTAAGATTGTACAGTGCTTTTATGAATGTCCTCCTTACAACAACTACCCTACTGCAGGTTTTTTTTGTTTGTTTGTTAAAAATCAGCTCATTAAAAGATTAAACAAGCTGTAGGTAAAAGTGATAGGATCCACATAGTGTTCAAGAAGGTTTTTTTCTGCACATGAATAAATACTAGCATGAGCTGGTACGTAGGGCTCAGCTTGCAGAGTGTTAATAATGAATGTCCATGGTGCCTCCCTCTTTCCAAGTTCAAGATGCTGTTAAAGATACATAGTAAGCAGGCAGATGTCAAAAACATGCAGCAAACTGTTAACACTGAATAGTGGCTTGCTATGGAAACTATTTAAATACAGTGCTGCATTTCAGTATTAAAGGCACCGATGACTATGTGTTTGGATTCATAGAAATTTTGTAAGGCACTGTAAGACTGCACTAAGAAACATTAGGCCTTTTAAGCCCTATCTTAAAGGCACACTGTTCTATTTAAATAGAATGCATGAATAATCGTAAAATCCTTATTCAGCTGCTTCACAAGTGCAACCCTAGTTGCTGTAATAGATTTTTCCAACACGTGCATGTAGGAGTGAGCGATCCAGAAAGTGTGTCGCAGATGTGCGTCTGGGACCCTTTTTGAAATGTCCAGTTTCTCTTTCTTGCCCTTTATTTAGATGCGTAATTTTCAGAACGCTAGCCAAGTTCCAACGAGAGTCTTGTGGCACATAACGAATTTATTGTGCCTTAAGCATTTATATTTGAGTCTCCTCTGTCAGATGCACGACGTGTCCTCAGTTGGCAGGAATATATGCGTAAGTGGGGGAAATGTGAACAGTGGAATCGAATGACAGTGAAATGCAGGAAGTGCCTTCTGTATTGCACTGCCGTTTGATTCCGGCGTTCACAATTTTTTCTCTCCGCCCCTGCGTACAGCCTGTGTTTCTTGCACCCTTGTGCACTTGTCCATCATGAAGCTGCTGCTTTTGAGATGACGATTTGAGAGCTAAACCCTTCTGCATAAGCGCGCTTCACTTGCACCGTCTGCGGGACTTTACGTGACAGCTCCCGGCTATAGCCAAACGAGCCTCCGTCGCCTTGGGAACCATTTCACAGGCTTTACAAAAACCGGAGAAATGCCAGCTTTCAGGCAGCGCCGCCTTTAAGAGGATAACGCGACGCAACCAAGATGGCTGCCGCGCCAGGTCACAAGAGTCCTTTGATCCGCTGGCCATTCTCAATCTGTTCCTGTCGTTTCCATGAAACAACAGCTTCTCATCTTAGCCAAGCCCATCCGCCACGCTCAAGATGGCGTCGCTTCCTGCGAGAACAGCGCTGCCTCGGCCCAGTTCGCGCGAGAGCTGCCGGCGCGTCGAGATGGAGCCAGGCGGCGGCGGCGGAGGTCCGGGCTTGCTGATTGTCAACAACAAGCAACGGGGCGCGGGGCTCGGGCTGGCGGCGCCGGCGACGCCGGGGGTGAAGGGCCGAGAGCCCAACCGCAACCAGCGCAAGGACTCGGAGGTCAGGCGGGGCGGCGAGGGGCTCCGGGTGGGGGGAAGGACGTGTCCTCGCCCACTCGCCGCTTCCTACCGAAGTCTCAAGGAGCCGGGAGGGAGGGAGGGAGGGAGGGAGCGGCTGCCTCTGGGTGACTCCGGCTTCCCTCACCTGTCGGGCCTTGCATGTCACCAGCGGTTTAAAAATAGAGATGAAATAGACGGGGGAGGGGGGTCGGGACGTCCCTGCGCTGGCAGTGGACGTGCAATGTTTAGTCTCCACCCAAGCCTTGGCTTCCCTCCCCTCCTTTACTCACGCGAAGCCATTTCCCAAATAAAGACTCTTTCCCATCCCCATCACGAAGAGGAGCCTGCCATGGTCACAAGGCAGCTGCTTCCTCCTCCTGCAAAAAGTGCAACTTTTGGGAAAACCCTCCCCATCCTTTTGCCTTTTTAAAAGGTGTTTGCAGCGCAGAAGCTTGCTCACAAGTAAGCTGCCCTGTGCCCAGGGGCTCTTACTCTCGAGTAAGGGTTGCCTGTAGGGTGACAACCCGGAAGATTATAAATCGGCAGTCCTATCTGTACACATTTACTTGGGAGTTAAGTTCCGTGGGTTTTGTAACTCTGAACAGATCTTGTCCAGGTTGCACGGCAGTCTGCGAAACTTGAGTTCCAGGCAAGCCTTAAAAGTGCGAAGTTGCCGAGCAATGTGGCAAAGCAGGTTTCAGGGAGAGGAGCATTGCCGTAGTCATCTGCAAGTTACCATAGTAACAGTGAAGCTGCGTGGGGAAAGTCGAGAGCCCTTTCATGCTGAGCCTAAGTTTTATTTTAAACTGTCCTCTTCACCCAGGGTTATTCGGAATCTCCAGATTTTGAGTTTGAATATGCAGACACAGACAAGTGGGCTGCTGAGCTGTCAGGTAAACTGTGAACTGCTTTTCTCTAATATTGTGCTTTGTTTTGAAACAGTTTCATTTTATTATAATGGATGTTGCTACAAAGTAAAAATCAAGCCTATGTGAAAATTCAACGGATTTGTTTGAGTTGCTGCTTCCTATATTCATTGTTAGTTGCTTTCAGGTTTTATCTTGTGATTACCGCTGTGTGAGGAAAGTTGTTTCGAGTGGAAGTGATATCCACATAAAAGCTCTCAGTTTATATTTTCTGACCTACCCTGGATACTTTTTTAATGAAGAGCAAGTTAGAGGTGTTCTAAATAAAAAAATAATTCTGCTATAAATAAATAGTGTGTCTTAGATTTTGCTTTAAGTATACATATGTACTTTTGAATATTCAGTCAATAGTATGTGTTCCTATTTTACTTCAATAGGAGAGATGTGCAGACATTGCCCAGATTCATCTATCATGTTCCGCTTGTAAAACCCAGTGCAAGGACAACTGCTAGAGCAGTGGGGCTTTTCCACCTCCACTGTGAGCCCCCTGCACCTTCCCAAATTCACTCAGAAAGGTATCCAGTAATAGGAGATATCCAGTAACAGTGCAGGGAGGGAGGAGAGGAAAGATGGTTCCATCAGGCAAGCAGAAATCCTTTCACTGATGGAACAATTTCCTTAGCGCTATGCAGAATCCTACCCATTAGGCTTAACCATTGCTTGTTTCTGTAACTACAGTTAAGTGTTGCTTACACCTGAATACCTACATCATGGTTAAGGGTTGTCTGCAAACTACTTATGTTAAGTCATGAGTCTGAAGCAGGTTTGTAAACCATGTTTTGTATTAACCATGGTACATCTACATCAATCAGTTTAGTTCTCCCTGCATCTCCAGGATCTTCCCTTGCAAAGTTATGAGCAGGCCTCATTGGTGTGGTTCCCACCCTACAGGGGCAGGGCTTAGCTTGAGAAAGCTCACCCATGGTAGCAATTTTCAAATAATGCCATCTTCTCTAACACTCTGTGTTATGAACATTCTTCCACTTGTCATGACAAATAGCTGTCTCCAGTCATGTTGCTTTAAACCGTGCTCAGGTACTGTATAACATATAACTTGGTTTTGTGTATTTATTATCTCATGGCAGAACTGTACAGTTACACTGAAGGTCCGGAATTCCAGCTCAACAGAAAATGCTTTGAGGAAGATTTTAGACTGCATGGTAAGAGTGAAGTATTGTCTTTTTGCTGTGAAAATGTCTTGTAGAGTTGCTTTGTGTGTGCTCTAGAAGTTGGTCTTTGTGTGCTCAAAATGTAAGATCTTTCTCTTTGTGATAGAAATAAAATACCAAAGGATTGATTGCTAAATCAAGTATGTTCTTACATCTTTCCATGAAACTTTGCTTTTATTTTAATCTATTATTATTATTATTAATTTGTATACCTCCCTTCATCCAAAGAAGGTTCACAACATAAAAATACAAAACGTGAGCACAAAATACATACCGTATTTTTTGCACCATAACACTCACTTTTTTCCTTCTAGAAAGTAAGGGGAAATGTCTGTGCGTGTTATGGAGGGAATGCCTACGGGTGGCGGGGGGGATCTGCTGCAGTCGTGAGCAGAGGATCCATGGTTCCCCTTCCTTCCCTCCTCCGTGGCTCGCTTTGAAACAGCAAAGCGGGAGAAGAGCCACTGAGTGGGGAGGAGAGAGGGACAGAGAGCCTGCTTCTTTAAAGGAGCAGTTCCGGTTGGTTCCTTTAAAGCAAGCAGGCTCTCTGTCCCTCTCTCCTCCCCACTCAGCTCGCTAAATAGCAGCAAAGTTTTTCAGCTCGCTAAGCCGGGGATGAGCTGGGAGGAGGGAGAGAAGCAGAGCCTGCTTGCTTTAAAGGAGCAAAGCAGGAGAGGAGAGGAGCCTTCTCCCCTTATACCCCTCTTCTTCATTATTAGCAGCATCCTTCTCCACCCACCCCACACATGCTCCTTGTCCCTTGAGTGCTTTTCCTTCCCTCCCCACTTAAAACGTGGTTACAAAGCACGGATCCACATGGATCCTCAGGATTTTTGCACTGGGTCACCCCAAATTCACCATCAGATCACATAGCATGTCCATGGCTACATCTTGCACCCAAAAAATCACACACCCACTGTTGCCTGGGGCTGCAGTGGTACAAAAACGTGGTTACAAAGCATGGATCCACATGGATCCTCGGGATTTTTGCATTGGGCTACTCCAAACTCACTGTCAGATCACATGTCTGTGGCCACAGCATGAACCACAAAAATCATACATCCACTGTTGCGTTTAGAATATTTTTTTTCTTGTTTTCCTCCTCTAAAAACTACGTGCGTGTTATGGTCGGGTGCGTGTTATAGAGCAAAAAATACGGTAATAAAGAACCCCCAAACAAACCAATAACACCCCTCCAAACCAATGACACATTTAAAAAGGTATAGAATGTTTCAACAGCCATAGCCCTGGTTATAGAGAAACCTTTTCATCTGGTGCCTAAAGGTATGTAATGAAGGCTTCAGGCAAACCTCTCCATGGAGAGCATTCCACAAATGGAGAGCCACTGCAGAAAAGGTTCATTCTCATGTGTCCACCCTGGACCTCTCATGGAGGAGGCAAACAAAGAAGGGCCTCGGGTGATGATTGCAGGGTCTGGTATTGTGGTCCTGAGCCATTTAATAGTTTGTATTTTAAGCAAATCTTGAGTTTTTGGAAGCGATGGAAGGTATTTAAGGTAAATGAGAGGGCCTGATATCATAGCATAGGATCCTTATTTATGAATTTTCTGAATGTTCTAGTGTGCCAGTCTGAAGGGTGCTTACCACAGCTTTTAACTCATAAGAATTGTAAGGGCTTTTGGGTTCTTATGAATTCAGCCTGACCTCCCAGACTCTTCTAAAGCAAAGTTGCCCTGTGACTTGTGAGGCTAAAGCTCCCTGATCTTTGAGGGTCTGTTTTGTAGTTTCAGAAAGCAGCCTTATATCAAACTGTTTGACTTTACAGTGCTGGATAAAAAATGGACAGAGTTGGACACCGATCAACATCGTACCCATGCCATGAGGCTTCTTGATGGCCTTGAAGTCACTGCTCGGGAGAAAAGACTGAGGGTAGCCCGAGCCATCCTCTATGTTGCACAAGGTATACCTTTATTACTGCCAGAGGAAATTCTCAGTTATGAAATGTTTGCTAGTTGCTGTGTAATGTCTTCATGGAATATTTATTAACATGGTACTTGAGTGAAACCAAGCCTGTTTTTTGAAAAAGAAAGAAAGAACAGAGATGAAGGAATTTTGTTTGTTACTACCTTTATTGCATAAATGACTGAGAGCAGTATCCTATTAAATAGATCCACTAGTGCAGAGATTTCCACTTGTACAATGAAACCTCCTCCCTCTCTGCCAAATATGTGTGCCAAATCTGTTCCAGAGAGTTGAGAGAAACCCAGAACAGATTTAGGAGGTATGCAAGGAAAGGAGAGGATGGAGAACTTCTGTTGTACAAGCAAAAATCCTTGCACTAGCAGATCTATTTAGTTGGCTACCACCCTTACTCAGTTTCATTTTTATTTTTAGTTGTTTGGGGCTAGATTCTAGACTTACAGTCACTTTTCATAGTAAACCAAGATGGTTGTCCATCTTTGCTCATAGTGTGCCTGAACATCAGAGCTGACAGAGACAGCAGTTTGTAGTTGACTATCACATATGTAGATATAATTAACCTGAGTAGTTGCTATTATTATCATCATCAAAGTTATATCCCACCCTTCCACTCAAAGGAGCCCAGGGCAGCAAGCGCACAATTAATGAAACAGTTTAAACATTTAAAAGCAATTCCAATTGAAATGCCACCTGTAAAAGGCTTGTTGAAAGAAGAAGGTGCCAAAAAGACAACAGAGGTGGTCCCTGTGTAATATTTAATGGGAGGGAATTCCAAAGAGTGGGTGCCACATCACAAAAGATCTGATTCCTATATTTTGCAGAATGGACTGACCCCCATGCTCAGTTAGTTATCTGCATGAGGCCCTCACCTACAGAGCAGTTATTTGTTGGGTAAATAAGGGGCAAGACGATCTTTCAGGTATCCTGGTCCCAAGCTATATAGGGCTTTATGCACCAAAACCAACACCCTGAACTTAGCCCAGTAACTAATTGGCAGCCAGTGCAGTTCTTTTAGCAGCTATGTAACATGGTGGCAGTAGCCTGCCACAGTGAGCAGTCGAGCCATCTCATTTTGCACTACCTGCAGCTTCAGGACTAACTTCAAGGGTTGCCCTGCATAGAAAACATTGCATTAATTCAGCCTGCAGATTACCAGCACATGGGTGACAGTGGCCCAGTCCCGAAATGGCCATAGCTGTCGTATTGGCCAAAACCGGTAGAAGGCACTCCTGGCCACTAAGAGCACTTGGGCCTCTACTGACAACTATGGATCTGGGAGCACTCCTAGATGAGCCTGCTCTTTAAGTGGGAGTACAACCCTATCCAAAGTAGGGAGTTGGCCAATTATTAAGAACCTGCCACCCAAAACACTTCCATCTTGCCGGGATTCAAAGCCAGTTTGTTGGCCCTCATCCAGCCCATCACCAAGTCCAGGCAGTGGTCCAGAGCTTGCATGGTCTCCATATTAGTACAGATGCATGATATTGCATTAGTGACATATTTCCATTGCACCAAATATTCAGGCAACAGAGGTTGTTCGGTGGGATTATCCCTTGAGATGCTGGTGTGATCAAGTGCCATCAAGTCCCACCGGAAGCCATGTTTCATTTTATAATTGTGTAACACTCTTGTTCTCTGTCCTGCAGCAGGTTCCAGATGCTGCAGGAAGCTGACATTCTAGCCGGTTGTTTTCATAGTACTGTATTATAATTTTTGTGTTATTTTAATTTTGTGAATTCTCTGCCCTTAGGCATAAGAATCAGGAAAAACATATCAGTTATGAAGAACAACAACATGCTTTATCTGTAAAATGGAGAGCAAATTGGTATGATTTTTGTTTTTGTGGCTGCAGGCACATTTGATGAGTGCAGCTCTGAAGCTGAAGTTCAGTCCTGGATGCGATACAACATTTTCCTTCTGCTTGAAGTTGGCACATTCAATGCTTTGGTGGAACTTTTGAACATGGAAATTGAGTGAGTTCCATGTTGCTGCAGAGTTGGGCCTCTGAGAGGAATGTAGGCTGTTTAGATAGCCTGGTTATGATCTGCCCCACCAGGGTATATATTTTTACAGCTTGTGAATGATCAGATGCCAGATTCATTCTGGTATTCATCCAATTTTTATCTGATTCCATAGAAAGCCCTTGAGTTTAGGACTGGAGTATTAAGGCAGTAGGGTAACACTGCAAGTTCTTTTCACCTACCTTTCCAGTATCTGATTAAGAAAAGCTATCTTTCTGGTAATGGAAATAAAACAAGTAATCTAGAATAATTTGATTTTTAATTATTCATTTATAATAATTGTATTAATATTATTAATGATACTATATTATAATACTTTGTAATACCAAACAAGAATCACTTACTTTTGAGGATGGCGTTGTTGTTCTTGCAGCTAAAAACTAAACACGGATCGATAGAAAGATTAGTATATACTGGACTCAGATGAATGCCTCTCTAGCCCACTCCTTTGATCTCGGTAGGATCAAAAATGTTCCTACTCATTTATCTAAAAAAAAGGAACACAAAGTTGTTATAGAATGTCTAGTAATTTGGTTCTATGGAGCAGATGCTTCTCTCGTAGTTGAATTCAGTCCAGTTTGTAAGATCTCATAGCAACTGTTTTGGGCAGCTGCTGTTGGATATGTAAAGGAATTAGAGCATGTGCAGAGTGGTGCCTAGCTGCAGAGAAAGACCACAGGATATGCAAACTGTACGCTGCTGTTTTCATGTTATAATCTTAATGTGTAAAAAAAGCCTTTGATCCCAGATTGTAGGCAGCAAGAGCTAAGTTGATGTTGCTTCTTTTCTCTCAGCAACAGTGCTGCCTGCAGCAGTGCTGTGAGGAAGCCTGCCATCTCCCTGGCTGACAGCACCGATCTGAGGTGAGGAATATTGGCATATAGGCCACAGGTGTGATGAGATTTCCCTGTGAAGGACTCATGAGTTTAAAAGAATGCTTTGCTTTCCTTTCCTCCGCAGCCTTTCCTCTATTTGCATATTCTCTTGTGTGTTTTTTTAATCATGGCATTTAGAGGTGGAAAGGACCTTTTACACCATATAGTGCAACTACAGCATAGCCTTCCAGCAGGGGTGGTAATATTTTTTCAGCCTGAGGGTCACATGCCAATAGTGGACAGGACAGAGGAAAAAGTGGGCAGAGCAACTAATGTGAATTTGTATACCTTTGTATACCAGGCAGTTTCTTCACACACATCCCTCTGTCTTCCATCCAGGCAAGCAAGAAGCATGATCAGAGTTCAAGGGACATATTCCAGCTAGGCAAAACACTTAAGGAGAGGCCAGATGAGGGGTATGGCTAAGGAAGAGACTTGAGTACCTGACAGAGAGGCCTGAGAAACTGCATGTGGCCTCAGGTCTGAGGTTGCCCATCCTGGCTTTCAGTATCTACTTGAATACTTCTCCGACATTTGTGCAAGAATGAGATTTATAGATTTGATGCAGCATACTGTTGTGCCTTAAGTTGTCTGCATTGATCTAATGGACTTGGGTGTGTATATGAAAAGATAGGTAACCAAACCCAACACAGCTTTGAATAGAGTATGTTAGGAAGAAACACTGTGTACAGTGGTACCTCGGGTTACATATGCTTCAGGTTACATACGCTTCAGGTTACAGACTCCGCTAACCCAGAAATAGTGCTTCAGGTTAAGAACTTTGCTTCAGGATGACAACAGAAATCATGCTCTGGTGGCGCGGCGGCAGCAGGAGGCCCCATTAGCTAAAGTGGTGCTTCAGGTTAAGAACAGTTTCAGGTTAAGTACGGACCTCCAGAACGAATTAAGTACTTAACCTGAGGTACCACTGTACTAGCTAACACTGTGTGCTAGTGGCGGTGCACAGTATAATCACCTCATCTGTAGTGAAACCTCTATAGCTGAAAAATGGCGAGTTCTTCCAGGAGATGCTTGTGGTTTATGTAAAGATACACCCACTAGAATGAGTACATTTTTTTTTTTAGAAATACAGGTTGCTAAGCAACAGTCACCTTGGCAATATAGACTGGGAGCAGGAGGAAAATGCTGGCTTCTTTTAGTAAAACTTGTCATCTTCTCGTTGTGCCAAGCATATAATGTTGCTACTTCTGATGAAGCCGGGGGGAGGGGGGGACATCATTTGTGCACACTTTGCTAGTCTAGCCCCCTCTCTCCTATCCCTGCAGTTTTGAATAAGCTGAGCCATATTGTCAGAGTTTGCCTTTCTAACCTGCTTGGTCTTTGCAATCCATTTTTGCAGGGTGCTGCTGAATATTATGTACCTTATCGTAGAGACTGTCCGTCAGGAATGTGAAGGAGACAAGCCTGAGTGGAAGACCATGAGACAGACCTTTAGAGCAGAACTAGGTAAGGATTCTGTTGCTGCCCATTTTGTGTTTGTTAAGGCTGTTTTATAAGTCTCTTGAGTTGAAGCAGGTATCAGTAAGCCAGTAAGGTGCAATTACTTTGTTGCAAGAAAAACTGCCTAGCCAGGTGTGGAAAGGTATCTTTTTTCATTTGAGCTAAATGGGCAGGATGTTTAGAACTAAACTGAAGCAGGGACAGTGTATACATAGACCAGAAGAAATACAGTGGTTATGGACAATATAACGGCTGTTATGTTGGACCTACTAGTGAATTGACGGCAGAGGATGGGGTTGGAATATATACAGCTGATGGGGTTGGAATATATACAGCTAGAACTGAGGCATCTGCATGTAACAAGGCCATCGCCAATGTATTGCCTTTCAGGGGCACCTCTGTATAACAATGAGCCGTTTTCCGTGATGCTCTTTGGAATGGTGACCAAATTCTGCAGTGGCCATGCCCCACACTTCCCTATGAAGAAGGTGTTGCTGTTGCTCTGGAAGACTGTCCTGGTAAGAGGTTGTTGCCTATGAATAATTGGTCTTTTAACAGATTGCTTCTTTTGCTGTAACTAAAAACTCTATCCCCTTGGGATATAACCAGGATTATACAAAGTGATGTGGTGCTGCTGTTTTAATTTCTTGACTGAGATCAGTTCAGAGACAAGCATGCTTAGCGTTTAAGCTGTAGGATGTGCATAGGTCCGGAGTCCTTTTTATTATTAAAAGCTCTATTGTAACTAACCAATAAATGTAAACCACTACAAGGACGTCTGTGTGTTGTATGATAATATCCTAGGTTGAGTTTGTCACCACCATTGAAAAATCTCGTGGAAACTTTGCAATACACAGCAGTGGAGTTTTGGGGGTGGGGATATTATACCCACAGGCACAGGACCAGTCCCTTTTCATGCACTGTGCAGTGCACCTACAAGCTATGAACAGTGCTGGGTTGAAGCAGGATCTTAGATAGTGACTTGGGGAAAAAATCCCTTGCTGATCTTTTCCATCACTGTTGACAAAACAGACACACAGGAGAGCTGCTCTGTAATTTGTTGGGCTTATTCAACTCCTTTCATATATGTCCTGATAATGCCATTTGGCACATCCCTGTAGCAGTGCTGCTGGTTTCTTATGCTGGCTGCTAGCTGAGTCTGGGTATCCTCAGGGCTTTTCGATTGCTTGAAAATAGCAGATGGCATCATGGATCCAAGCCTGAGCAAATCAAGCTGCCATTGACACATTGGAAGGAAAATCATTATTAATGTGAAATGAGGCTTCTGGGTTGTTTTGTTTAAATTAACAAATTTATAGATATTTTGAAACTCGGAAGAAAGAGATGAATATTTTCTTGCTAACTGAAGTATCTTAGGAAGAGGTTCAGTTTACACGGGAATCCTAGGACTGACAAAGAAGCACACTTACTGGCCTAAATTTGAAAACCAGGCAGTCCATAATTTTATTTAATTATGAAATGTTTATCCCACCACACCAAATTGTTTTAATTTTTCATATTTAAAGAAACGATTTCTGGATATTGATTAGAAAAGTATCTCAGGTTAGTTAATAAATGGACTTGCAGTGCACTAATGCATAATCTTTTTAAAAAGAGCACAGGAATAAAAGAAGTTATTCCAGTTGGTGCCATAATGAAACTCGTAATGCATACATTTGGCTTGCTTTTTCTTTTTCTTTTTGAACTGCTGAAATGTATAGTTTAAAGACGGTGGTGCTACAACTAGGATGCTATAATATAATCCATTTGTGGATGATAAGGAGATATTTTTCAGCTGTTTGAGACTAACTGATCATGAAATCAATAAAGTGCAATGTTGTTGCTAGTTTTCAAAGGACCTACTTCTCTGATCAGTACAATGTGGTCCAGCTGCCACTCAGCTAAACACACCTATTTCAGATAAGCCTACCTGGCTTTTCCAGAGTTCTTGGTGTTCCTCTGGCTGTTTGGTATCTGCCAAGTAAAGAGCATAATAGTACAGATACCACAGACAGGTATCATATGCTACTGTTTAACCTAAGGTGGTCTTTCCCTGTCAGTGAGTGGATGAGAATTGCCCGGAAGTCTCATGTAAGCCCCTCTGAACTTCTTGAAGAAAGAGAAGGATATGCTAAATACAGTGGTACCTTGGTTTTCGAATGTAATCCATTCCAGAAGACCGTTTGAGTTCTGAAACGTTCAAAAACTGAAAATTCAATAGCCAACAGCTAGGTCTCAGGATCTTGCACTCAGCAGAAGCCGCATGGCATGTTCGACTTCCAAGGCGTGTTGGAAAACCGAAATGTTCATCAACGGAGATGTTCAAAAGCCGAGGTACCACTGTATGTGTGTCTGCTAGGAATGTGGAGCTCTCAGCTTCATGAGCGAATGTCTTTAACTTCATTTGTTTGAAAGTTAGCTGTGAAAATGTTTCATATAAGCACAAAGACAGGTTTAAAATGCTATGTTCTTTGGTCTCTGCTATGCCTTCCCATATACACAAATGGTTCTTTGAAGAATGATGGACATTCCTATAACTGCAGCAAATCCTCCATTCCTCCGTCTTGGTTTGCCTTTAACAAACTGGTTTTTGAAGGGTTTATGAGTGACCAAAGAGATAATGGAAGTGAATGACCTGCAATTATCCTCTTGCCGTAGTGCACCCTTGGAGGATTTGAGGAACTCCAGGATATGAAAGCAGAGAAAAGGGAGATGTTGGGGCTCCCCCCACTTCCTGAGGATAGCATAAAAGTGATTCGCAACATGAGGGCTGCCTCCCCTCCAGCATCTGCTTCTGATTTGATTGAGCAGCAGCAAAAACGGGGTCGTCGAGAGCACAAGGTAAGTCAGGGTACAATCTGGGAGGGATGTAATCGTCCTTTGTTTAGGAAGACACTGAACTTAAGGAGAAGGCAGACTATAACATCATTTGCTGTGTGTGTATTCTTCCAGGCTCTTATTAAACAGGATAACTTAGATGCCTTCAATGAGCGAGATCCCTACAAAGCTGATGACTCCCGGGAAGAAGAGGAGGAGAATGATGATGACAATAGTCTTGAGGGAGAGACATTCCCTCTTGAAAGAGATGAAGTGATGCCCCCTCCTATCCAGCACCCACCGACTGACCGACTGACTTGCCCAAAAGGTTTGCCTTGGGCACCCAAGGTCAGGTGAGCACCTATACAGGATTGTTGTATCTAAAGAAAATCCCAGAACTGGAAGGCTCTCATCTTCAGCCTCAAACCAGTGCTCACCTACTTGGTTAGTGCACCTAATAGATTTCTGAATGTTATAACTATTATGAAATATGTGCTCTGGCTTCTCTCATTGACGTTGTGATGATGTTTGGGAGCCTTGATGTCTTTGAGGATGCTTGAGATCAGAAGAGCGATTCTCATTTTTGTGTGTCTAGCATATAAAGGAACTTCATCTCTCCAGGGCTTTGTGGTGAATGAAATATGCAGTAATCTTGAGGAGCCCTAAAGTTCTGTCTGAATATGATTCTCTTCTCTTCTCTTCAGAGAAAAAGACATTGAGATGTTTCTGGAATCAAGTCGGAGCAAATTCATTGGCTACACCTTGGGAAGGTGAGTTAATGGAGCCCGAAATTTGTTGCCTCTTGTGCTTAGCTTGTTTGTAGGGGATCTCTTCTTACTATGCAGTTAATGTGTTGGGTAACTGGCAGCATAGACTTTTTCCTGAAAAAAAGTAAAGACAGCAAGCTGTTCAGGCTTCGTTATTTTTTTAAGCATTCACATAATCGTTTCTCATTCTGTGTTAAGCCACTACTGTAATACTGTTCAGACACTGAGTTTCTGCTGCCCATCTTGTCAGTTCCTGAAAACTCAGGAGGTCTGTGCATGCAATCATACATGCATCTCAAAACTATAAATGCAGCTATAATGTTTTATGGTATTGTGTTGTAATTTGAGTAACCAAAAGGACTAAAATTCTTAAACAACTAAAATAAGGTGTGCCTGTATACACAAACACACACGCAATATTGCTATGGACAGATGAAGAATAGGACCAGGAAAAGACTTAGGACACCCACCATGTCACACACCATGTGTAGAGTTGCTAAATAAATTAGCATATCAAGTGGTAACAGACATTTTCCAGGCTTTTGGCTGGTACAACTAAAAGCTTAATAGGAGTGGTGAAAACCTGCTACACTAAGTCACAAAACCATATTGCAGAGGGTACATATGAACTACAGATTGAATCCAGATAACCAAACTTTTTCCAAGTCTAAGAAATAATAATTATTTCTTTATTATGTATTAGTGCTTCATTTTAATAGGAAAAAAATCCTACATTTTAGATGCATCCAATTAGATCCTCCTATTTATTTCAGGTTCTGTTCCTGATGCATAACTAATTACACAAACTGAACATTCTTAAAAATCTAGCATGCTTTTATATTTTAAAGTTGAGAGGAAGGTTCCTATAATTTCCAAGCTTTCCTGTTTTTCAGGTTGCTAGTAGCCTGAGAGAATCATATCTGAACTTACTAATGAACAATTTTTATTGGCTCAATAGGAGCAGGAAGCTCTTGCACAAATGAAAGAGATTTTTTTTTCTTAGACAATTTATCAGGACATGCCTAGCAGGTATTGTAAGCTGCCCTGTGATCCTCAGATGAAGGGTGGTATAGAAATTTAATAAATAAATAAAAATAAAATGTGCTGTTTGAAAGCATTACAGAGAGAAGAGTGAAATCTCTTAATCAGATTGACTAGCTTTCTCTTCACAATTTTACCAAAATGGCTCATTTGTATCACTCATGATGTTTACTGGCTGACTGGTTTTGCTTTCACCCCCTCTAGTGACACTAACACAGTCGTGGGGTTGCCTAGACCCATTCATGAGAGCATCAAAACTCTTAAGCTGGTGAGTACTCACTGTGTGGACTTCTTAATTTGCATGTGTAGAAGACATCTCATCTAATTACTTACTGTTTGTCCAGCCTAAGAAATATATCCTAAGCAGGAAAAGTGCTTGAATTTATGGTGCTGCCAAGATGATGAGGTTAACTTTCTTTGCCCGCTCTCTTTATAGCACAAATATACATCTATTGCTGAGATTCAAGTACAAATGGAAGAAGAGTATCTGCGTTCTCCCTTGTCAGGGGTAAGTATCATAGGGCAAATGTTCAAAAGGGGGAAGACTTGTGGTTTAAAAAGCATCTGCATGAAGAAGTGGAAGGGGAAAAGTGTGAATCTCTAATTTGGAACTGGACATTTGGCTGATCTTTGCTATCTGCATATGCTGTGAGTTGGTCAAAGAGATGATCCCTCCTGATTCCTAACCTGCAAATCAGATCATTGGCTTTGGATCATGAGAACTCTGCCCATGAGACACTCTTATTGGAAAGAGAGACTTAGGATCCAACCCTTATGTGGTATGATGCTGTGCAGCTGCCTCTGGAAGGAGTTCTTTATTAAGGAAAGTTTTGCTGAGTTTCTGGATGAATGCTCTTAATATTCAGACTAACTTAGCATGCACTTGAGGTAGGAATGAATGATGCTATTATCTCTTTGTGTTAATAAAGGGGGAAGAGGAGGTTGAACAAGTTCCTGCAGAAATCTTGTACCAGGGTCTACTTCCTAGCCTGCCACAGTACATGGTGAGTTATAGTTTCCTCCTAATGTTCATTCCCAAGGCTTCAGCACACCCTTTTCCCATTTCATAAACTCTAGCCTCTCTACCATTTTCAAGATGGGAGAAATAGCTAGACTCAGTTTGCATTTCACTGCTGGCTTATGCAAACTCCCATTCTGATATATCTCTTCTTTGCTTGCCAGTATGTGACAAGCTATTTCCTTTGATGTTTCATGTTCATCTCTTCCCGTTATGAGTTTCCTTCTCCTCTTTCCTGTTCTTTGGCACTTCTGAAAGCCTTCTTTGCTTCACTCAACTTTCACCCACAGATTGCCTTGCTGAAGATCCTGCTGGCTGCAGCACCCACCTCCAAGGCCAAGACTGATTCCATTAATATCCTAGCAGATGTTTTGCCAGAGGAGATGCCGTGAGTCTCATTCTTAGGGGGAAAGCATATGGTGAATGAAGGGCAAAGGCAATGAATGGATGTTTACTTGACATTCAGTGGTTGGGTGTTGAGTGGGCAGGCTGACATTTATTTGTATATTTAGACATTCCTTTCCTGCTGTTCAAATGCTTTTCATATGATGGAACATTTGATTGTCTTGAACCTTGCAAAATGATGTGTGCAGCCTAGAATTAAGAGATCTGGTAGCAGAGAAAAGAAGTGTTTGGACTGGACCTGGAAAGCTGTTTTAAAATGGGTCTCCTTAGAAATAGCAGGCCTCTTAAGTATGGAGGGGGATGTTAAATCAACAATCTCTTGAGAAGCTTCAAGGCAGCTTAAGTGGTGATGCTTGTGCTTCAATTGAAGACCTTTTTTCCTGAATTTGAATGTGTCATTAATACATGCACAGTACTTATCCATGTCTGGAGCAACAAAGATTTCATAAGATTGGTAAATAGGTTCTGCCACATAGCATACATGGGTTCAAGGCAGTACTTTTTTAAAAAAAACTTTTGTTCAGCACAGTACATCCTGAAGTGCTTATGTTGGCAAATGGAGCCACACACAGCTTGTTGAATTCTTCATTTTATTGACATATTAAACAGAGTCAGGAAGGGCTTGGAGAAAAGTATTGAGGAGTTGCCATCTCTTCCTTGATCACCCATATATTAACTAAAATTAAAGCAACCTTCTTCACTGGCCTGTAGAAAAGAGAGACCATAAAGTGCTACTTAAAGGAGAATTGCCCAAAAATATAAATAATAGCATTAAGCACAGACAGATCTGCCCTACCACAGTCACCATCACAGGCCGTCGAAGCTAATACTGCTGCTTTGCCTTCCAGAACTACTGTGTTGCAGAGTATGAAACTAGGCGTTGATGTGAATAGGCACAAAGAAATAATTGTAAAGGCCATTTCTGCTGTTCTGCTTCTACTGCTTAAGCATTTTAAGCTAAACCATGTTTATCAGGTAAGCATGAAATGGCATGAGCAATCAGCATTGGAATTGAGAGACTGAAGTGAATCTGGAATTTGCTTGGCTAACCATTCTTACCACATCTGTTTCCTGCTCCAGTTCGAATACATGGCCCAGCACCTAGTGTTTGCCAACTGCATCCCCCTTATACTGAAATTCTTCAATCAAAACATCATGTCATATATCACTGCCAAGAACAGGTAGGTGGGAATATCTCTAGCACACCTGTATCCCAAAACGCTGTGACAGGAAATGTGACACACTATTTTTGCAGTGGGACACCTGGATGGTATCCGGATGGGATATCTAAGAATAACTAGTTATCCTCCACAATTTTAACTTGCAGAAAGGAATATGTTTCATCCCGCTGATAAAAAAAAACCTGCTGAGAAATTATTCATCTCCACCAACACTACTACTTGTCTGTTAAATGGATAGCTTTAAAATGTGCTTGTTTGAAAAGACATTGAGTGACGTTCATGTAGATCCCATGGCCATGAGTGTCACTGGACTCAACAGACACCATTGCCCTAGTGGGCTAAAACATTACTAAGCAGTTGGTTGATCTGCTTATTTTTCTTGGCAGTAGGTAAGTATCTGGAATAGGCAGATATGGAAAGATGTGCATGCATGAAGCCTCTTGGTTGTTGCCAACTGAAGAGCAGCAGGTGGAGATGATGTCACAATCATTTTTCTCATATGTTTGAACCTGGCAGGGGCAACCATTTTGGACATGGTATATTTGACTAGATAGGTCATCCATTCTGATCCGTTTGGGGTGTTTTGTGTTTTTTAGCATCTCTGTTTTGGATTACCCATACTGTGTGGTGCATGAGCTGCCTGAGCTGACTGCAGAGAGTCTGGTGAGCTAAACTACCTGGACAGAAACATATATAGCAGAGGGATGGAGATGGCATTGTCAATGAGGGGCAATTTCTCACTTTCCTTACTTGGTAATATTTCCTTTGTTTTGCTTTTTTTCCTATAGGAAGCTGGAGACAACAATCAGTTTTGCTGGCGAAACCTGTTTTCCTGCATTAATCTACTTAGGATACTGAACAAATTAACAAAGTGGAAGCACTCAAGGACTATGGTGAGTAGAAGGGCCTCCTCTTCATAGTGCTGTTAAGGCTTTATTGATCATGTACCATCATTTTGGCCTTCAGCAAATGAATGGTGACCAAGGCACAGGTGAAGTCTTGGAAAACTGAGAGTGTTCCTTTGCTTTCTCAGATGTTGGTGGTATTCAAGTCTGCACCCATTCTGAAACGAGCCCTCAAAGTGAAGCAAGCCATGATGCAGCTTTACGTTTTGAAGCTTCTCAAAGTGCAGACCAAGTATTTGGGGCGACAGTGGAGGAAGAGCAACATGAAGACCATGTCAGCAATCTACCAAAAAGTGCGGCACCGGCTCAATGATGATTGGGCTTATGGCAATGGTATGTCCTGGATCTGTCTCTCCTCTTTCCACCCACTCCAAGTCTTTCATAAGCCTTTAACTGCTATGCCAAGCCAGTTCCCTTAAATCACCCATCTGCCTTCCTGTTAACAGATCCCATCAGTAATTGCTAGGAGCGTATGGTGATGGCTCCACTTATCCTAAACAGAGCAAGCTGAGGAATGTGCTTCCCCACTTCTAAATTGATGTTGCTTGATAGACAGTGTGGTATAGTAACTATAGTGTTGAACTTGGACCTCATAAATACATGTTCAGATCCTTGCTATGAACCATATAGTGTAGTCTTGGACAAGTCATTGGGTCTCAGCCTTAAACCTATTTTCTACAGTGGAACCTCAGTTTTTGAGCATCTTGGAAGCTGAATGATTCGGAACACAAACACAGAAAACCTGGAAGTGATTGATTCTGTTTTCAAATGCGCCTTGGAAGTTGAACTGCTTCTGCTGCATGTTTTTCCATTTTTTCAATGGATTTTGCTGACCGCCCATTGATATTCAGTTTTTGAACGTTTTGGAAGTCAAACAGTCTTCTTAACGGATTACATTCGAAAACCGAGGTTCCATTGTACTAGAGTGACCATAAAGGACAAGATGGAGTCACTCCATACTTCTTCATAGAAGGTTGGAATAGAAATGTGAGATATTATTGATGTCTGTGTCTGCTGGGAAGTCCCTTTGCATCTCATCCCTAGAAGTTGAATTTCTTAAAGATCTGCCAAATGGGATGACATAATGCTGGACTGCCTGTATGGCATTGTATGGCATTTTCATTGTGGGGGTATGACTGGAGCCCTTCTGCTCCTTTAGCTGATTGTTTGCTTCATGACTTTTGCAGATCTGGATGCACGTCCTTGGGACTTCCAGGCTGAGGAGTGTGCTCTGCGTGCCAGCATAGAGCGTTTCAACTCTCGCCGTTACGACCGGGCACATAACAATCCTGATTTTCTACCTGTGGATAACTGTTTGCAGAGTGTTCTGGGCCAGCGCGTAGAACTGCCTGAAGATTTCCAAATGAATTATGACTTGTGGCTGGAAAGGGAAGTTTTTTCTAGACCCATCTGTTGGGAAGAATTGCTCCAATGACATTTGAGAAGAGGGAATTGGAGCTAGTACGTGTGCCCAAGGACAAGGCAGCTTCTCTTTAGTCAACCGGGCATAGAGAGAAGAGATAAAACTGGTTTTTCATATGGCTTGTAATCTGCCGTTCTTTCCTTCTCCTCCAGGTGGCGGCATGGATTTATACTGCTCTCAAGGTCCTAGCAAATATGGCTTTCCTACATCTTTTGGGCTGCTTCAATTACTGATTGGTTTAGAAGGTGCTAAATGGATTCAGAGTAGTTCACTTTGAGACTCGGATCAATTGAAAAACGCTGAGCAAAATACCAGTGTCAGCTTTGATTGCTATTCACGTGATCCTTGTTGGGCTTCTGTCCTTTGACATTGGCCAGCTGTTCTGTTCCAAAAGTAGTATGGCAGCTTTTTTCTGCTATGCCCCCACTCTTATCCCAAAAGGACAGAACCCTTTCTCTGTTAGCTGCTAGGATGGAAAACAGTATCATGGTGGTGTGAATGAAAGGAGAAAAGATAGGTGGTGCATACAGTTGTTCATACTAATAGGAAAAGGAGCTATCTGGAGTCCCATCTAGTGCATGTAGGGACCTTGTATAATTGAGAGGATCGGGAGCAGGGAATAGGATGTGTTCATAGCAGCTGCTTCCACTCTCATCTGGTGGCCCTTCACAGGGAAGGCAATTTAACTGGATCAGGGATGTTACCTTTTTTTGTTCCTGTAGTGGCACCAAACATCTAAACAACAACTGATCATGTCCCAGTATAATTGAATATTAATATCTATTTCTTTCCATTGAGCAATCTTCTGTTTTGAAGGCTTCACCATGGAAAGAGAAACTCTTGACATTTTCCCATTTCCATCAATGTGCCATTCTTTCTTCCTTCGTTTGCTTGAAAGCCTCAATTTTTGAATAGCTTTGCTGCACAGATGTGCATGCCAATGTAGTTTGCTTAATTTGACCCCTTGCCAGGGCACCTTGTTTGTGCCTGCGCTTCTTGGTTAAATGTTGCATAATCCTAGTCTTCTCAGTCTGGATGTTGGTGACCCAGGCAAGTAACTCATCCTACCTTGATGCTCCATCCCAGTCTAGTTCACATAAACAGAAGATGAAGTGGCACGCCTGTGTCTGGACTTTCCCACTGCAAGTCACACCCACAGCCATCTGGAATAGTACTGTCAGTCCAGACAAAGGTTTTCCACTTCCAATGATGTTTTGTAAGAACCTAGTCTCTGGGTTCCTGCAAACCAGGACTGTGAATGTGGTAGAAGTAAAGGCATTTACTTTAAGTACATAAGTGGACCTGACAATAAAGTAGATGCTTTCACTTCCCTAGGAGATGGTATCTGCTCTGAGAAGACTCACAACCAAATCTAAGTGTAGCCTGTTGTATTTATAAACATTCAGGAACAGGCAAGTACAGTAGGTCACCACCAGGTGCAATACAGTAGAATGCATTTTCCTATTTGTTTGTGCTTTGTAGTCTGATTATATGCTCAGGCTACAATTCTAACATATTTGGAAGAGAGCCCCATTGAACAGACCGCCTGAGTAAATATGTTTAGGTCTGGGGTGCCATTAAAATGCTACTGTGGCAGTGGGTGGGACTGCTCCAGCACTCCACATTGAGCCTCGATTACTTGTCCCCAAACACTCCCAGCTGTTTAACTTTCATCACTGAGGTTACAGAGTGTCTCTCAGGCAGACAGCAGCAGGGACCAAGACACAGTGTCAGCGTAGAATAAGAATCAAGTTTTAGCAAAGCCAATTCATTTGTTTTGAGCAAATGTCACCAGGCAGACATTTGCTCACAAATTGTAACGTAGCTACAGATGGGGCTCCAAGCTTCTTCAAGGTGTAACATACTGAGACCGTAGGGCTCCCCCCTCCCCATCTCTGCATTGTTAACAGTGTGATGGTGACATGATCATGCAACAGAAGCACATGGTCGCATAAAAGAATGAACAAGCATTAAAAACAACAAAATGCCTATCAACTTACAGTGGCTACTTTTGTGTATGAATCCTGAGATCTGTACGTATCTCCTGGAAAGAAATCCAGACAATTTCTGCTCACTGGAAATTAGGGACTTCAGTGGGTAAGTACAGCATCTTTCTGGCTTTGCCCTCCTACTCACAGACTTCATAGAGCCTGGTGGCAAAATTAGCACCTGGGTGGATGTTGCCTCTTGACAGATAAATAACTCTTCTTCCCTGGGTTCAGTCAACCTGTCTCTTGGCTTACACCTCAGCTATCTCAATTCCTCTATACCATAATGGGAGATAGAACTGGAGACATGGGGGGCGAAGACCTGATTAGCCTTCCTAGGTTGAATTGGGAGTATTTGGGGGAGGCCTGGTTGCATGGTGGTTCCTTCATATGTACTTGCTCAGCTTATCTGTAAAATTTCTAATACCGGCAAACATCTGGCCATTTTTACCTTCTGGAGCACTACACTATTGGATTTTGTATTTAAATTACAGTGAAAATGAAATCCAGCTATTATGGATAAATTATTCTGTGAGCACTTGCTGGTCTGTGACACCACTGATGGGCACAGCTGCATGATGGGGGCAGACTGCAAACTTGAAAGCTGCCTTCCTCTCCCCCACAAGTGCATTGATGTCTGTGGATGGAGAGGAAGGATACTTGCATTTTCCTTGGTCATTTCAAGCAATCTGGGTTATGTACTACAGAAATGAACCAGGAATGTAGGCAGTTAAGATCCCTTCCAGCACGGTCCCCTTGCAGTAGTAGATTTGTTCACTACTTAAAGTTTTAATAGAAGACTCTAACCAGGTAGAAGAGAGCTTTCCAAACTTTTTATATTGGTGACACCCTTTTTAGACAGGTATCACTTTGTGATGTAGTAAATTCATTTTGCATCATTTCACAACACAGTAATTGTTTCACTAGCAAACCAGAGGTTAAACTTAACCTCTTTTTAGCCTCGGGAACAGCGTGGGGAGCATTCATGTGACACGCCGACACACTGCAGCCGACACACTGATGTGTCGCAACACACAGTTTGGAAAGCTCTGTGGTAAAGTAAGGAATTGCAAACTGTGGACAGTATCCAGCTAACATGTCCCATCATCACAAGGATTTATACTTACCCCCTGCACATGCCCTGAAGGGGTTGCAGGAACCCCTAGAAAAAGCTTCCTCAACCTCGGCCCTCCAGATGTTTTGAGACTACAATTCCCACCATCCCTGACCACTGGTCCTGCTAGCTAGGGGTCATGGGAGTTGTAGGCCAAAAACATCTGGGCGGCCGAGGCTGAGGAAGCCTGGCCTAGAACATATTTAAGGGGCGCACAAGGGGAGGAGAGGGGAGATCCGATTGTGCCAAGTGGACATCCTTGTGCTGGAGGGTTATGTTACTCAGGGTTACTTTAGATAACCCAGTTTTTTATTATTTACTCCTACTTACTCCTCAAAAAAAAACCACCAACAACACCTCAGGGCATCTCAACAGAAATAATTTTAAATGGCAATGAACAGTTTTATGCCTTTTCTGTGTGATCTCTAATCTTTCTGAAATGTGTCTAGCAGAATTGCTCTAATAGTGTACAAAGTTAAATTCTTGCTAAGCTGCTCAGACTATGGTTTTCCTTGTTGAAAAACGAGAAGAGTCTCATAGCAGTGTCATTAGATAAGAAGAAACAGTTCCCCTTTCTGGAAATGAGACAGCGAGTTTATTCTATTTATTATGAAGATTTATGTTCTACCTTTTTACAAAATACCTAAGTTAACGTACTATCAAGATAAAAATACACCATAATACAAGAGAATGGGCAATCACAAGTGGGGAGAGTGCTCTTTGACTCATGTCCTGCTTGTGGGCTTCCCATAGGTATTTAGTTGGTCACTATGAGAACAAGACAATGGAATGAAGAGCTTTTGGCCTGATCGAACAGGGCTCTCCTTACGTTCTTAATATCATATGGATCCTGCCCCTCAGTTGCTTTGTTTTCTACAAAGGCAAAGGCCCAGAGATTATGTATTGATGACTGGAATTCATAAGCAGTTTTTGAGAGAGGAATTGATTCATCTAATAATACTTGGAGTGCAGACAAGGCACACTCAGGCTGCTCCTTTGGCCCAGAGGCAACTCATCAGCATTTTAGTGCACATTTCTCCAGATGTAGTGTTTTGTGTGCAACATTCCCCAGTATACACATTTTTGTATGCTCACTTCACTAACATAGTGCGTTTCTATGCACACTTTCTCCTAATGTTTATATATTTTGGCACGCATCATTTCACTGCATTGCAAAATGCAGAGAAGTGTGAATTTCAAAGAATATCGATTTCAGTCTGTGCTGTATCAGGAAGTGCAAATTAGGGAGTAATCATATCAAAGTGCAATCTGAATTGAAATTATCCCCCATCCAAACTTCCCCCCTTTGTTCAACTGCTAAAGTTCACAGTGACCGGCCATGGTAGAATTGTGACATCAGAGGAAAATCAGCCAATCGCTGCCTTCCTTTTTTGTCCCTTCGCATTCCCTCATTCAGGCAGGGCTTGATTTACTAGCCCATCGAACAAGGCAATGCTGCTCACAGTGAAGAGGCTGCTTGGGCAGCAGTGCCGCCTTCAGGTATCTGGTGAGGAGAGGATCTCTCTGGTGAAAAGCCTGGTGTGTGAAGAGCTCAATGTCCCTGAGAACCAGCAGACCCTGTTGTTCCAGGGGAAAGTGCTGGAGGGGGAGCACAAATTATCAGACTATCTCATTGGCCCAGAGTCCATCCTCTATCTGGTCATTAAAAAACCTGAGCAAGCTCATCCTGAGGAGCCCTCAAAGCCGACGGCTGTCCAGCCCCACTCAGTGTGGTATCGACTCTCGCAAGTCCTGGAGAAACATTTCAGAACTTCCGACGCAGTGAGGGTTCTCGAGCGGGTGCTGAACGACTACTACAAAGGCCTTGGCTTGCTGAGCCTGGAAAACATCGAAGAGTTAGCAGGGGACCTCCTAAGTCCTGAGGAAGGTGAAGGTGAACCGGTGGCTACAGGTGAGCTTCCCCAGCAAAAGGGGCACCCCACAGCCCCAGTGTCTGAATCCAGGAAGGATAAAGCGACCCAGACTGAGCCACAAGAAATGCTAGGAGGAAGGTGGTGCTGGAAGAACTCTGGAGTAGACTTATTTAGAGAGGTCTAAGCGAAAATTAAAATAGTGATGGTGTATGGAACATGGAGCTGTGTCTTTATGTACCAAGGAGGAAGGAGGTTTAGTAAATGAAGATGACCATTTTTAAAAGGACCAGAGCTTCAGTTGGTATTGAAACTAGTGCTGTGCCAGATTTTTCACAGGCAAACAGTTTTGGCATGAAAGGGAAGGCTAAAAGTTCACTGAACAGCCCCTGAATGTGTTTACCCTTACTGACTGCTGCTTTGGTGCCATTCCCCACCCCACCCTGCCCCAGGCATCGCATTTCTGGCTGTGTGATCCCAGCTAACTGGCTGCCTTGTTCCTAGTGTGGTGATGTCATGGCACCACACAGCAAATCAGAGCTGGCGATGTCCAATTTTCCTAAGGCCAAATGAAGCCCTAATTTACATTCACTCTTGAGTGAAGGAAGCCTGCATTGCCTCAGTGCTCCCTGTGTTATCATCCTGCACTGGTCATTTAATTGTCTGACAGCACAGCAAGGCAGGATGCATCAGCACCATTGTCTTGGCAGCAGGTTGATATGTTCTGTCTTCTCCCACAAATAGGGTTTTTTGGGGGGGGGGAGCCACACCCTGAAAAATCACCATAAATGGGGCATTCTGAGGGAGGTGCAAAAACACCTATGAAAACAGTCTCCCCGTTTCAGACCTGCCTCTGTCATAGGTTTATCTCCTCCACCGCTACCATCAAACTAGGCTTGTATCCAGGTACATGTAAGGCAGCATGTGCTTCACTGATACATGGTCCTTGGTTCCATCTTTGGCATGGCTATTTAAAATACCGGTGTCCAAACAGTGGAAGATCTCTAGCAAGACTACATGAACTGGTTGAGCCTGAAAGCCCTGGTTGAGATGGACAATTGTCCTTGTACACCCTCTCTCTGTACATTGAATCAAACATCATTTTCTTAAAGTCAGTGTGTCATATGGGAGCATATGGCTGGCTGGCTTCCCAGGACCACAGGCAGGAATTCAAGCATTTCTGTGGCAGCTTCCCAATTTTGTGCTGGAGCTGAAGCAAACAGTTGAAGAACCATTCCCAGGATCCATTTTACATGTTTCCCCCAGCAAATGTACTGGATTCTGCATGAAAAGTGACTGTTCCCCTACCTCCCAGTAGAGCTATTCCACTCCACTTCCCAAGAAAGCAGTCTCCCAATTAGTAGTGGGTTGTTGTTGTTTCTTCACATATACTAAGCTGGTATCAGCAAGCTGCTTCTGAAATGCTCGTTTTGACATGGTTCCCAGCTTGTCATTGCGTTCCTCCACTGAGTTAACTACCCAAGAACTCAGCAGAAGTGAAGGAATGTTTTCAGAACTGGAGATTAAAACTGACATTTCACTACAGAGGTAGTGGGGCAATTAAAGCACCAGACTTGTGAAGAGTGCTACACGCTGCTGTGGAGATGAGATCGCTGTCTTCAAACATCTAAAAGGTTGCCATGCAGATAGTGGAACAGACTTATTCTCTGTTGCTCCAGAGGGCAGGACCAGAGCCAATGGGTGGAAATTGCAGCAAAGCAGATCTTGCATAAAAATGAGGAGAAACACCCTAACAGTAAGCGCTGTTCAACAACGGAACAGACTGCCTCAAGAAGTGGGCGGCTGGGGAGGGGGGCGGCTGGCTATCTTTTGCGAGAGGAATTTGAGCAGGGCCTGGATCTCTCATGGATGCTGTAATTGCATCCTGCATTATAGATGTTACATTGAGGCAACAGGTTGGACTCGATGACCTAAGGTCTCGTCTGACTTTTTTGATTCACATGCACATGACATCAAATTGTCTCATGGGGAGGGACATACTTTAAACATAAAACCCTACAAATGTTAAAATGGTATCTTCATGCCACCACATCTCTTGTCAGCCAAAGCCAACCTTTTTCAAAAAAAAAGAGTTTTACATTGCTTTTGGGCTATATTCACGTAAGGGGAAGGATATTCCACAGCTGAGAGATAGACATGGAGAATATCTCCTTGTCTCCTTGCAGCTCTTACCTGGCATATATATGGTAAATTTAGTCCATCTTAGAAAGTGTGATGGACCATAATTAGAGCCAGGCTCAGGTATAGATGTTGAATCAAAGGTGTAATATGTGCCAGCAGCTCCAATAGAGCTATTCAGATCAAAGGACGAGCCATAGTTTGTCTGAAGTGATTCAGTGCATGATGAAGTCTGCAGCCACCACATTTTGGACAACATTTGAACTTGCCCAAACATTGATTGCTGAAGAGAATCAAGAAAACATAATTCTTTTTTATTCTCATCACTCAGTGACTGCAGAAGTCATCAAACCACCCTGAGATCTACAGATGGAGGATGATCTGCTGCTACTACTACTAAGTACTGGAAAAAAGAGCAACTATGTTTGCAGAACCATAGTTTGTCTCCCAGCCCTAGGGTATTATTATTTTATGTCTTTGCATAAGAGAAAATTAATGCCCATGTAGAAAAAGTGTCCCTTTGGTAATATATAAAGGGTTGCCTGAGTGTCATTTTTGCAACAGGTACATGCATGTCTGTCATGACTGCCCATCCCATGGATCCACCTTCTCTATACATTACAAAATGCACACCTTTTCCTGTATTGTGCAATGGCCACCCAGATGTTCTTGGACTCCAGCTGCCCTCATTCCTGACCCTTGGCCATGCTGGCTAGGGCTGATGGGAGCTGGGACTGATAAGAGGTGAATCTGGAGGATCACAGGCTTCCCACCCCTGCTACATGGAAATTGATTTTTCATATATGGAAAAGTAATATGGGAAGGAGCCAAAGATCGCATATTTATGTAATATTGGCTGTTACAGCAAGAGTGCTGTGCATTGAGCTTTTCCTAGGCATTGAAACAATCAAGCTCAGCACCATGCACCACTGGTCTAATAACAGCGTTGTAGGCACTCTGCCCTCCACTGTTCCCATCAAACCACCAAACATTCCTTTGGGGTAAAATTAAATTGGCAGTAACCAAGTGCTTAATTAGCATGCAGTAGTAATTCTGTTTGTAAACACCAAAGCCAGAGGAATGAAATTTGAAGTAGCCGTGGAAGGTGGAATTGTTTAATGAGATGAAACGCATAAAAAGGACTGAGGGAGAGAAAAATCTGTCAGTAATATAGCCAACACTGGAGCTAATATGTCTGCATCTGTGCCTATATGAGGAACACGAAAACTGGGAGCTTTGGCCAGGCAGTGTCCCCTCAACAAACAGGGCTGTTGTATGCTGGCGACAGGGTGCTCCACTAACTAGATGCTGCCTTCAGCCCCAGCTTCAGCTTCCTGACCAGACCTCAGGGCAGTTTCCCATAGAGTGCATTGCAGTAAGCTAATGTTGAGGTTACTGCTGCATAGACCCCTGTGTGTCCAAGCTTTTCCTGCCCAGGAATGGTTGTCGCTGGCGTCCCAGCCAAAGGTGAGAAAAGGCACACAAGCAGTGATGATGGATCAATGATGATTGTTGTTGTTTAGTTGTTTAGTCGTGTCCGACTCTTCGTGACCCCATGGACCAGAGCACGCCAGGCACTCCTGTCTTCCACTGCCTCCCGCAGTTTGGTCAAACTCGTGCTGGTAGCTTCGAGAACACTGTCCAACCATCTCGTCCTCTGTCATCCCCTTCTCCTTGTGCCCTCCATCTTTCCCAATATCAGGGTCTTTTCCAGGGAATCTTCTCTTCTAATGAGGTGGCCAGTGATGATTACCTCCAAGCTATATACCTGATGCTAAGGGAAAACAGTCCTTTCCAGAGCAGCCAACTGATCTATCACTCAGAACCACAAATGGCTCACCCGCTGCTGGGCCCCATTCTTGCCAGGATTCAGTCTCAGTTTATTGGTCCTCGTTCCACCCAGCGTTATATACACCAAGGTGCTTGTATGAAATTGCACAGCCTCACCTGATTCAGATGTTACGGAGAAATAGAGGGAAATGGGGGAGAGTCATTTTGTTTGACTAAATATAGATCTTAAGCACCCTTCTGAGCACTTGCTTTTTCACGTGCTGAGAGACGCTGCTGTGGTATGGTCCTGATTTAGGGTGATTCGGGAGGAAATGATGCTTTCATGACCACCGAAGGACAATGGTGAAGAAGAACATCACCTCCCTCCCTCCATCTGCTCATACTGCAGTTTAGTGAGCATTAATTGCCTTATGATGGGAAGAATGAGAGCACGCCGGACAGTAATAGTCTAATCTCTGAAAACCGACAAAACAAGGTCCTGTTGAGATGGAGAAGCGCGTGACGTCAAGGAGAGGCTTAAAATATACTCCCGGGTTGAGGGAAGAAATCACATGACAGTTGTGAAACATGAGCTGCCCTTTTGAAGCACAAACCTAGGCAGAAGATTAAAGGGTGTGAGGGCAGGAGAGTAAAATTGCAGCTACTAAAACATTGTTTCTTTTCCATCCTTTTCTGAAGGCTCTGGCAGCATCCAGGGAGCCAGAACAGAATTATTTCATTCAGTGTACGGCCTTTTTGTACAAATGGCTGGCTAACCAGTTCCCCATCTGCTTTGCTTAACTGCCCCAGCTAGGCAGCCAATGAAATAAAAGCCGGGAGCAGTTCCTGGAAAGGGATAGCACTGAAGGGACCAGCTGCTGGTTCATGTTTGACTGCCCCCTATTAGCTGTTGCGGCTGGTTGATGAATGGAGCTCAGAACTGCATCCTTCAGCTTGCTTGCTTATTTGCAATTAACTATGGACTGTTTGCCTCGGCTTGCTTATTGGCTTGACATTAAATCTATCCCTTCGTTTAGCTGAAGGCTTATATATTTTGTGAATTTTAGCCAGAATCATTAGAATTAGCGCTGTGTAAAAAACAAACAAAAAAAGCCTCCCAGTGTTTTTCTTTTCTTTTTTTTAAATGATATTTATTAAGAATTTTAAAGCTACAAAAAAAAAGAAGGAAAAAACAAGAGAAAGAGAAAAAGAAAGAAAAAGGTAGATAAAAATAACAATTAAACAATACAAATCAATAAAAACCACAGTCAAAAAAAAACCCAAAACACACAATACATCAAAATCAAAGAGCAAAAATAAACAAAAAATTTAAAAACAAATCCATTATTCCCAAATCCTTAACTTTCATTAACTTATTTCATCGACCTCCTCACACCTCCGTTTTTTGTATTCTAGTTGTTAATTATCTCAGCAAATCCTTTCCATCTTTCACAATATTCTGTCATTAAATTACCTTCATCTATTTAAACCTTATCTTACCATAAAAAACCTTAAAGCTTAGAACTTAAATCTTATTTATACCAAATTCTTTTCACCATAACCTATTCATACATAATTCTTTTTAACATTTCTGCTAAAGCCAAATAATTTCATTCCAACATTTTTCTAATACTCATTAATTTTACGATACTTTCCTAAATAAATTTTTATAGCTTTCTTCCAATCTTCATCCATCGTCTCTTCTTCCTGGTCTCGGGTTTTGTCAGTCCTTTCTATCCCATCCTTCTGGTCCATCAACCTGGTGACCTTGTATCCGAGGCTCTTAAGTCTTTTCCATGTCCCTTCCGCAGGTCTTCTTCATGTTTATACCTGTACTTTACTTTGTCTTCTGCTGATCTTATTCTTAATTTCCTTCCTTTCACTCGGGGAGACTCCAACTTGACAATATCTTTGTCCCTTCTCGACAAGTCAGCCCCTTTTCCATAGTCAACACTGAAATCCATATGATATTTAAAAGCATGTTTCAAAGTCCCTCCAAAGTTAAGGGCCCCCACAACTCCGAACTCCCCCCGGCCCAAAGCCAGACTCGAAAGGTCAAAACATCCCTGCATAGGGGGATCCATCCAACCCCCCATCTCCAAGCCAAACAGAACTCCATCTCTCCAAATCTGACTTTTTCCAGGTTCATTCGTCAAATCCAACAACTCATGTTCATGCTGGGCCGCAGCTCTCTCCATCTCCGCCACTTGAGGCTCAGCAACAACCTCCTCCTTTATCTGACCTGTAAAGCACATTCCTGGGTTAATTCCTGAGTGGGTGCTATATAGGTACCCACTGCCTGTCCAAAATTTCCAATCGCAACAGTCATCAAATCCACCTTCTCATGTAACTGTTCCAATAAAGCACTTGTCTTGCAAAAAGCAAGCACCAAAGCCTCCTCTAAGCACATTCTTGTTCAAGGTTGAAGTCTGGTCCCACGATCTTTAATCTCTACAGCTGCAAAGCTCCCCAGTTCGATTCTAAACAGTTTCACAAGCTCCCTCTAGGGGAAACAATTTCTACTTGTATCCATCTTAAAAAAAAAAAAGCAGATCTAGCAACAAAGTTTTCCTTTTTCAGATATTTTGTTCCTTTTAAATGCGAAAGGGAACAATGGAGTCAATATGTTTCTCTCCTTTTGACTATCTGTCAAAAACGTTTGTCCATAGTCAATGAACTTCCCCAAAACGTCTGTCCTGACACCCCGCTCCCAGGTTCAAGACAGTGGAAATTTACCTTTCTTTATTCTCTCTTCTGCAGGTTTAAACAGTCTAAAAAAGGTTCCCCCCTCTTCTCCTGCTTCCAAGGGGGGGTTCAGTAATTTTAAATGATGACAATTTAATCCTTTACAAATGACTTTCCAGACTCTAGCTTACGATGTCTTTGCTTCAAACTGTTTACAAAAGCGGAAGGCGGACTTCCTGTTTAGACCTTCCCGCTCCAGTGCCAGATTACGAAGTTTAGTAATCCAATTTTCCGTTCTACTCACGGGTACTTGTTTAGAGTCCAATTGTCCACAGGAAAAAAGTCAGTGTTCTCTGACAACAGCAATGCGGCTTCACTCCGTGAAAAGAGCAGTCGATTTGAAGCACCGCGCCGCTCACCCCACGTCACTCCGGATCCCCGTAGTTGGGTTTCCCCGCGAGTAGGGGAGGCGCTAAAGGTGCCAGCCGAATCCCAGGTCCACAGGCTTCTCCCACCTGTGGTTTTTGATGGGTCTCCGCCTCGCTGTGGCGGTCCAGACCCTAATTTTCACGGAGCGGGTTCCTCCAGATCAGAGGAAGCCCGCCATTGCTGGTGGTGCTAACCCGGAAGTCCAGTGTTTTTCAGTTATTCTCCATCAATAAATAAAGAAAGATTTTCTCCTAGGTGGGGTGCTGGGTTTTTGCTGCACTTAACTTACTTTTGAGGTGGCTGGAGGGTATTTCTGTGAGTGTTGTTTTTTCATTCTCCAAATCATCTCCCTGGTGGTCTGCACTCTGCAACCTTCCCAAATGCCCCTACATATGGTTTTGAGGAACTGCAGGATGGGAAGACAACAGGCCATCCAGGGGTTGTTCTATAATGGAAGAGGACATTAATTCATGTCCTCCCCACCCCAAAGCCACTTGTAAGTAAATGCAATCTCTTCTAAACCTAGAAGTTCCTAGAATTTCACCCTGAGATAAAAGGCATATGATAAACCACCCTCTTTCACAAGAGATAATGATTATCTGGAAATTTAAAGGCAGGACTTGGCACAGGGCTAGTGAAAATGGGATCATCATATTCAAAAGCTGTGAGCCTGTAGTTGATGTGGTGGTGTCTACCTCTCTCATTTGAACATAAGAACTCAAAAAGATATTGATCAGGCTAAGGGCCCATGTAGTCTGGCATCCTGTACCCCCAGTGAACAACCACAAGTATGTAGAAAGCCTGTGAGCAGGAACTGAATGCAACAGCACTCTCCCTATTTGTGATTCCCAGCAGAGACATACTTCCTCTGACAGTGGAAGTGGTGTGTGTGTGTGTGTGTGTGTGTGTGTGTGTCTTTGGACTTGTGTTTGTTGGGGTTCTGGGCAAGATGAGCTTTTGCTCTGACCCAGCCAGGGGTGAGGAACCCAGTGGCTTCCAGATGTTGCTGGACTAGGGCTCCCATCATCCCTTCTTATTGACCAGGCTGTGTGGGAACGGTGGGTGCTGGAATCCAAGAACAACTGGAGGGCCACTAGATTCTAATCCCTGAGCAAGGCAGTGCCACATTTGCATGCAAGTTGCCATGCTAAAATCTGCCCTGATAATGTAGGGCTTGTTCCTGCAGTCACATTCTGTGTGATGTAGTTTCTTCAGCAGCAGTAATGTGCCTCTATAATGAACTTTGGGAAGCTGAACTAGTCCTGTGAATGCTTTGATGCTTGTTGCAGAATCTGCTCCCTACTTATGTCATGTAAAGTATTGTGGAAAGTAAGTCAGACCATGCATGATGTGAGGAATTGTGAACAGAATACACACTGGATTCACTGGATACACTTTAATCTGCCAGGAAAGTTAACGTAGTTTTGGCTTTCCTGTGTAAGAAATGGTTGTCTGAGTGAGTCCCCAGACAACTCTACAGAAATCCAGGACATTCAAAGGTGGGGGCAATTTACTTCCGGAAAAAAAGACAGAGGCTCTTTTCTCTAGTCTAGGGAATAGTTCTTCCTAGTTTGTCCATAGGGTAAACCCAACCTTATTGCATTTTTCATTCAGCTAAAATTAGAACAGAGCACAGTACTAATTAGAAGTGTAGTCAATGCAGAGTAACATTACAGGATTGTTTTCTACATCTTTCTGAGCTTAGTGCTTCTCAAATAAATCGGCACTTGCTATTCCCGTAATGGCATCATGATGACTCATGTTCAGAGTGTAACTCTCTGTACCACCCCAGTTGTAAGTGTAAAGTGATTCCTCATTTTGCCTTTATGTAGCAGCAAATTATTTCTCATTTTGTATGTCGGCATACCAGTGTTGCACTGCATGCATGTACACTAGCGTCAGGGGGCATTCCCCTTGCCTCTAGAAACTTCAGAGAAAAACACCTGAAACCTGAAGAAAATCATCTTTGTCAACTCTCGCTGGCATTTTATAAGGCATCCTCAGGATCTCTAAAAGACAAAATAACATGAGGGTGCAGATTCCAAAGGGGACACTATTTCCTTGCTTCCAGTCTCCTCCTCTCTGTACCATTGAAAAGGGGCTTCAATCCAGAGCAGGGAGGCATAACATTTTATTCCTAGCGTGTTAATGTCTAGCACACTGGGGCATCCACTTACCATGTTGCTTCTTCAGAAAGCACTAGCAGTGTCTGCTGCTGGGACAGCCATCTAAATGGGTTACTGACCTGACAAGGTGGGCTACTTCCTGGTCTTAAAGATGGCAGCTGAAGCCTGAAAAGGCACAATTTAGAGAAAACTCAGACAGTCACGATATCTGCATTGTAACCAAAGAAACTGCGCTTGCTGAGCATTTCCCTGCTGCATACAACTCTCAAAGGGCTCATGGGATGAGGAGATGGCAGCTTCAGCTCGGACCCAGTCTTGTTACTATTAAAACACCACCTTTTTCCTGAATGCTAGCCTGTTTCCTAAAACAGCAGCCTGCAAAATCCTCTCTCGTCAGCATCCATACTTGCCAAGATCAGTCTTTATCTCCTTGTGTTTTGACTTTCCTTCCCACAAAGACCCAAATGTTGATTTCTCCAAATTAGTGCCCCCCCACCCTCATCCTACCTTCCCTCTCCGTCAGCTTGAAACAGCTATGAATGAATGGCTGGTGGTCATGTGATTCTATCACCATGGAGACACATGGCAGCTGTAAGATGTAAGAATCAGGATCATAGGAGGGCGGCTGCATAACCAGCAAGTTATTTATAGGTTGCTGTTTGTGAATTTATGGAATCACATCTGTCTTTGAGCATCATGTTTCATATTCACTCTGATTCCGGTGGGCCAGGGCATTATTCTTTACAAGCGTGCATTATAAAAATCCCCCAAATCTATGAATTAATCCAGAGAAGGAAGGGTTCTCAGTAGCTTATACAATCTCTGAGCAAGCTTAGATCAGGCTGGTTTAAAATTCACATTAATTTTTTCATCATGAGATCCTCTCACAAACCTACTCAGACTTCTCAATACATAGGTCAAACCACATCTTTGAACATAAGCTGCTGATGGCTGCTCCATGAACACATGAAGGAAAAGCCATACAGCAACCCATGATCGTTTCTTAAACAAAGAGATTTCTTTTTGGTTTTTCCATGCAAATAGGAAGCAGGAGCCAGCACAAGGCGACATGTGGGATCACCTATTACATGGTTGAATCTGAGAATTTTTGGTTGCTCGGTTTCTCATTTTTCAAATCTTAAATTCAGTTCACCACATTTCTGCAGCAATCTTTGAATTAAAAAAAATTGTCATGAAAATTATTCAGTATTTTAATGCAAATTTCTCCTAATAAAGACATTTTTGAATGAAATTTTAGCTGATGTACACATTTTTGCAAACATTCTTTCCAAATATGATGCATATTTGTTTGCTATTTTCACCAATATATTCTTTTTTATGCACACTTTAACCGCATATTTGATATTTTGCAAACACTGGTTGGTTGGGAACTGCATCACATAATTTGGATGAGTGCAAATTTCAAAGTTTAGTTCTGTTTTGTTTCTTGCCTTGTTTTGGAAAGTGAGAATCTGATGGATTCACCTCTAAATGTGAACTGAATCAATATTCTCCCCCATCCCTAACTATAGGTACCCATTTCTGCCCCCTTTCTTAGAAGGTGAACATAATCTATTCAGCCCAACCTTAAACATTTTGTTATCCCCTAGGTAAAATTTGAAAAATGTGACCCAGCAGGCAGAAAGTTGTATCTGGATCTGGAGAACTTAGCAGTATCCATAAGCTTTCTTTGGCAGAGCAAATAACAGTTTGGGGTGGGGACTGCTTATAGCAGAAAAATAATGGGAGAGGGTGAGGGGGAAAGAGTTAACCCACTGCTGGTTATTGCTGCTTTAACTTACCAGCCATGGGGAAAGATGGGTGGAGGTGTCAGGATATTATTTTCTTAATTTTTGCTTTGCCAGTTCCATGCTTGCACAGCAGAGAGATGCAGATTGAACTCTTCTCTGGAGGCTAGACCAGCTTAGGATCCAGTGGATCCTTGCTAGCCCAGTCCTGCCCTGCCCCCATTCTACCCTATTTAGGACTTAGGTCATCAGTAGTTTGTGCCATCAGTGGGCACAGTAGCAGCTTTTGTGGAAGCAGATCCTCACCACCACCAGCAGCAGTGCCCCAGCCGAGAGAAACATCTGGCTCCCTCCTGCAGCACATATCTGGGACTAGGATTGCTCAGCTCAGTAGGACATGAGAAGCAATAGGAAAGATGGCTTCTCTTTTTAATGCTGCATAGCCTTTCTTCCTTAAATTGTCAGTGTAGAATCACAAATTTGTTAAACATCTAAATGAGCTAGGTTCTGCACAATGGATAAATAAGGTGATAGCCCTGCTGGAACGTATTTTAGTGGAGACCTTTTTCTTACTTATAAAATAATCCCCTTTCCACCAAAAAGAGAGAGAAAAGAAAAGACTCCCACCAAACAGAATGAACCTCTTGTCACACCTAAGGCTGTCCAGCACTTTGCCCTAACTCAGACTCCTGCCTTCCACACTGCTTTAGAAAAAATATAAACAAGAAGAGAACATTTGATTTATGTCTCCAAAGACACAGAACTTGACAGTATTTTGTGAGATGTCTCAAGGGACATAACCCACTGTCTTAAGCACACAGGGAAAATTCTGATAAATTGCCATTTAAAAAACCAAGGAAGCCAAATGTCAAAATATAAATAACTTTATTGGACAGGCAGGGTGGAGGTAAAAGAAGGGAAAAGGAAAGGTAACAACCATCTATAGATACCCAGCCCAGCAGATAAAATGGATAATGAAAATCTAACTGAGTCACCAATGTGCTATGTGCTTGGATGAAGTCTTTACCCGCAGGCAGTTTTTCTTTTTAAATACCAGCACCATCAAGAAAGGCACCCATATTGAGGTTATTGCAATATGGGTGCAAATGCATTTATATTTAATATTTATTTGTTTATTAAACTTATATCCTGCCCTTCCACCCAAAGGAAGGAGCCCAGGGCAGCAACCAACAACTGATATAACAATAAAACGTCCTTACATTATAGAGATGTAGACTGGGAAAGATCTTGACTTAAAGGCTTGTTGGAAGTAGGTGCTGAAAAGACAACAGAGATGGCACTTGTTTAATACTTAAGGGAAGGGAATTCTAAAGGATAGTACTAAGACACAATTGTGAGAAGCAGACCCTCCTGATAATGTGGCATTTGCAGGAGGACTTCAGCTGCACAGCACAGTGATTGGTTGGGTATATAAGGGGCGAGGTGATCTTTCACATATCCTGGTCCCAAGCTGCATAGGCTTTATACACCAAAACCAGCAGCTGGAACTTGGCCCAGTAGCTTCACGTGTTGGCAATATCCTGTCCCAGCGAGCAGTTGAGCTGAGCTTTTATGCTCCTTGACCAGCCAGGAGCTCATGCAGGAGGCTGCAAGATTGAATGCACCTCTCTCCAAGCTCTGCATCAGACAGGGAGGGGGCACTTGCCCCTGTCCTTGCAGCGCTTACCAACTGCCTCATCAGGGAGCAAGCAAAGTGCTCAGGAACTCGCTTCCTTCTTCAGGCTCCTGGTGCTGCAGTTTTTAATAGATTACAAAACAGATGAAATAAAGTTATTTCATTGACGGCCCTCATATTGTTATGTACAGAACAACACTGAGGGTGTTTAAACTATAACAACAGCAACTTCGTACATTAGTGAAGTTGGCGTGTTATTAGATGCACAAAAATGGCACCTACGCAGCAGAATCATCTGCCATGGCTGGCCTTGGGCTAATCACTTGTCTCTTAGCTTCAGTGTTCCTTGACTGAAAAAATAGGGTGTTCTTTGTCTGCCTTTGACCCGTTTTAGGGGTTGGTGTTAGAATTCCCGATCAGTAGTAGATTTGTACTTATACATGCAGGCTATCTCATAGCTCAGAAAGGGACGCGGGTGGCGCTGTGGGTTAAACCACAGAGCCTAGGACTTGCCGATCAGAAGGTCGGCGGTTCAAATCCCTGCGACAGGGTGAGCTCCCGTTGCTCAGTCCCTGCTCCTGCCAACCTAGCAGTTCGAAAGCACGTCAAAGTGCAAGTAGATAAATAGGTACCGCTCTGACGGGAAGGTAAATGGCGTTTCCATGTGCTGCTCTGGTTCGCCAGAAGCGGCTTAGTCATGCTGGCCACATGACGCAGAAGCTGTACGCTGGCTCCCTCGGCCAATAAAGTGAGATGAGAGCCACAACCCCAGAGCCGGCCATGACTGGACCTAATGGTCAGGGGTCCCTTTACCTTTACCTTATCTCGTAGCTCATGGGGCTCAGCAGGCAGTTGACTCCACTCTCCATATGCACTATTACTTTGCATCTGGCTGAAGGTAAGTGGACCTTAGGGTTTTTAGTGAACAAGGAAGTTGGACCCACAAGCTTGTAGTCTGCCTTTGTTGATTGGTGCATGAAACTGGCAGCATAATTAGCAGAATATTTGCCTTATGGACAAGCTCTGCTGTCCTTTGCACAGCAGTTTGGAATCAGAGCTGCCACCTTTTTATGTCAAAAGTGCCATTCCCCTGGAACCTGGGGATGGCGGCGGATCAGATAGAACCAATACAGAATCTGGCAGACTGGGGGGCGATGCCAGAATGAGACTGGGTGTTTTATGGCTGGGTGGGTCATGGTAGCATTTGGTCAACCATGAGTGGTTAATTACATCGATTGCTGCTGAACTTGGCCCCTCCCTCTCTGCCCTTCGGCAGTGAGCAGACCTCCATTCTGGGGGGTGGGGAAGTAAGAACTGCACCACCATGCAGCAGAACCAAATTGCCACAGCTGGCTCTCCCTCCCTGCTCTTGGTCACTGAATGCCTCCAGTTCTGGGGGAAAATGATTAAGAAGCTCACAGCTGGACAACAGACCATCAGTTGCCAGTAATGGGAGGGGGAGGAATGAGATGGGATGGAGGTCAATGGGTGGGCACACTCATGACTAGATGAAAATAGACTTTGAGTGGAGGATATGCCACCTGAGCAGTGGAATGTGTAAGAGTGGCTAGGAACGTGATTTACATTGCATCGTTTTATGCAATGTGCTTAGTGGATCCTTCAGAATAATACTGCCATTCTGCCAAAGGCGCTTTACCATTTAAAACACCAAAACAAGGACAAGCGGTCTCAGGGCATTGGTGCCACTTCAGGAGCTGACGATGGCACGAGTTCCTTGGTTTGGGCTTCTTCCCTTCTGCTTTCCTCTCGGAGCACACAACTTTTTAGACAGGTCCCTGTCTGTGTGGTGAGGATGCCCTGGCTGTGTGGCCTTTAGACTGCTCCAGAGGTTGAGCTCTCTGAGCTGGGAAGTTCCTGATTCTTTAGACCCAAACTCTGGGCCCTTAATAATACTGCCTTGCCTATATGCGTTGGAACTCTTCTGATCTCCCAGGCGGCAGCACGTCCATCCACACCACAGGCTGCTCGCGATTGCGGACACTTTCCCGCAGTGCCCAAGCGGCTCGCCTGAGGCATGCCGGGAAAAGCGCGCCTTTCTCCCAAGCATCAGGTGTTGGTTGGCCCTGCCGGGGAGGGGCCTCGAGGGTCCGCGGAGCAGCAGCAGCAGCGTCTAACCCCGCTCGGGCCCCCATGCCAC